ATTCTATTAATTTTAATTGTGTTTTTTAAACATTGTAAATGATCGTAAACTAAAAAATAGAGTGTAATTGAAACCACTAATTTATTCCATAATTGCGAGGTTCTGAATGAGGCTTAAGAATTTTTAAAATTTATTTTTTATACGTTAATATAGTCAATGCAAATTTGGCGTTATAAGAATAAAAATATCCTAGTAATTTAAAAGTTATTTGATACTTGAGACCTACCAGTAAAAATATTTTTCATTAAAAAAGTATGCGAACTTTCAGATTGATTCTGTTTGTTAATACTTATAGAAGTGCACAAAATCATTTTTGTATTTTTATGTTAGTATAAAGTTTGACATCTACTACAAGATGTATACTCCAAGAATAAGGCATAACTATGTCTAATGTACCGGGTGTCCCACTAAGTGTCCCTCTCGGCTGTATCTCGGAAAGTATTAGCCGTAGGGCTTACGGAAAAAAATATTTATGACTAAAGGGGCTATGAGAAGTTTGTAAAACGGTCGCTAGGTGGCGCAACTGCTATAGAAAATAAGAAAATAGATTTTTTACAGAATTTTGCCTAGATAATGGGTACTATAAATAATAGCTTTATAATCTTCAGTAAATTTTGGATTTTTTTTGTTAGAACCATTTGCCCTATCTGCTAAAATAAAGTGGTGGGGAAGGTTAGATCTATCTTTATTTAAATGTTAATAACTCCGGATTGGGTGATCAGAATCCAAGAAACGAGGGCTCGTTTAAAAGAGCGTTTCTTACTCTATATTATACCATAAAAATAATAATAATAAAGTTTTGAACGTAGACGCTAGGGGGCGCTGTCTTACAATTTAACAAACATAGCGCGTTTTATCAAAAAAATTAAATACGATAGTATGTGTTATTTTAGCTGATAGTAAAGAGTAGTAAAAGCTTAAAAAGACAGCGAAAACCGCATCTTGATATCTTCTTTCAAACCGAAGATATTAGCAAAATTATAGTAAATACCAGAAAATAAGCCCTTAATTACCTTATTTTTACAAAACAGTATCAGTAGCCCTCTTGATTAGACCCATTCTAATAAAAAAAATAAGATAGAATCAGCTAGTTTATTTTAAAATCGACGAAATACCAGAATACCATAATACCAGATGTATTAATATCTAATAATTAAGATATTAATAATAGTGAACAAGAAACGACGATTTAGTGAAGTCATGGTAGGCTTTGGAAAAAAGTTGCTTTTCGCGTAATAGTATAAACGTCAAATCGTTATTAGATCAACATTTTGATAGTCTTAGCAGCGTTTTTTATCTTTTAAATACTTTTTCAAAATGCCCTTATTATTTGAAGTAGTTGAAGTTGTTGGCATTTTAAAAAAGCAATCAAAAGATAAAAAACGCTGCTAAGACTATCAAAATGTTGATCTAATAACAATTTGACGTTATACTATTACGTCAAAAGCAACTTTTTCCAAAGCCTACCATGACTTCACTGAATCATCGTTTCTTGTTCACTATTATTAATATCTTTATTATTAGATATTAATACATCTGATATTATGATATTCTGGTATATCGTCGACTTTAAAATAAACTAACTGTTTTTATCTTGTTTTAGGTTAGAATGGGCATAATCAAGAGGGCTACTGATACCGTGTTGTAAAAATAAGGTAATTAAGAGCTTATTTTTTGGTATTTATTATAATTTTGCTAATATCTTCGGTTTGAAAGAAGATATCAAGATGCGGTTTTCGCTGACTTTTTAAGCTTTTACTACTGTTTACTATCAGCTAAAATTACATATACCATGCATTTAATTTTTTTAAAAAAACGCGCAATGTTTGTTAAATTGTAAGACAATGCCCCCTAGCGTCTATGTTTAAAAGCTTATTATTATTGTTTATATGGTACAATATAGAGTAAGAAACGCTCTTTTAAACTGGCCCTCACTTGTTGGATTCCGATCATCCAGTCCAGAGTTATTAATATTCAAATAAAAACAGATCTAACCTTCTCCCACCACTTTATTTTGGTAGATAGGAGAAAATGGCTCTAACAAAAAATATTCAAAATTTACTGAAGATTATGAAGCTGTTACTTATAGTACACCTTATATAGGCAAAATTGTGTAAAAACTCCATTTACTTATTTTTTGTTGCAGTTGCGCCCTTTAGCGGTCGTTTGGTTTGCTACAAACTTGGAAATAATTTCGAGCAATTTCCCATAGCCTCTTTAGTTATAAATATTTTTTTCAGCAGCCGCTACGGCTAATACTTTTCGAGATACAGCCGAAAGCTATTCTTAGTGGGACACCCTGTACACCAAGGAGGATCATTTAAGTCATAACTTGAAATGTCGTCATTTATATTCATACAATCAATAATTTTTATTGTATGTATTGTGCGTTAATTTTTGAATTTAAAAACTAACATATGCAAAAAAGTAGTTTTTGTAATGCTAAGTTAGTATTGAAGGCTTTTACAAAGAAAATCTCCTCTATTAGGTACACATATCTCCTTCGACAATAAAAAAACACTATTATCGTTGATTTGTTTAAAGATTTTTTCATTTATTCTTTGTAAAATCCTCCATTTTTAAATATCAATTGAAGATGAAAGTGTAGGGAACCAAAATAGACTTCTAGAACGTAGAATTTTAAAAGGCAATAGGCTGTGCAATTTTCTGTTAAAAATATACAAGAAAAATATGAAATAGACTTCGAAATTTAGCTTTAATGAAACTCAGTAGGGAAAGATTTTTTACTAATGGAGAATAGTGACTTTGTAATGTTTAGAATTATTATTATTGTTAAATATAAACTTTTTAACTTTTCCAATATTTCTTTTTCGTTGACATACTTTCATATACTCATTCATATTACATATATACTTTCATAAACTAGGAAATAATTTGTCATTAGTTAAATGCCATTTAGTTTAGAATTTTGTATGGGTAGTTTATATGGAAAAAGAAACGTAACGTCTTGGAACTGAGAGTGATATTTTCTTGATTTGTCAGGATCAAAACAAATGTGATATGGGCATATGTGTGATTAATTAACTAAATCTATCTAAGGGTGACTTAACCGCCTATCAATATTGTAACTTTTCGAAAAAAAAAACAGTTTTTTCTTTCTTTGGCAACAATAATATTCACATATCTGGTTATACAATTGAAATAGAGATTTTTTGAAAGTTACAATTTTGAAACGTGCGGCTGATACATGTATAAGCGTATATAAAAATATTTAATCTTTTGTAGTAAAATATGTTTCGTTTAGTTGACTAGTAAATGTAACCAATTAAATATAAGTGTTGTAGGAAAATGTTAAATATCAACAGCAAAGGAAAAATCATTTAGGGTATTTTTAAGGTAAAAATATCTATTTTTATCTCTGACAATTATTTTGATATTTTTCTTTAAATTATCTTTTTTATATACAGGGTGTGCAAAAAAGTTCTCACCAAAGAGGATTTTTTAGGGAGTTATTGAAAAAAGATTATAGGGAATTTCTTCAGACCTATGTCCCATAACAAAAAGAATCACTTTGAAATATAAGCCAAATGGTCAGATCAATATAAAAAAGATTGGTTAGAAAAATAGAAAAGAGAATGTCCCTGTATATGAAACTTGAAGAACTTTTTGGCTTTTTTGATATTTTGTCACCTAACCCCAAGAACAATTAACCTAATAGGACTGCTCATTCAGCCAAAAGTGTCCGCCAGGTGCATGTGAAAACTACTCGCTTTGTGACGTCGAGATGTGACGAGATTTGGTATGTTAGTATATGACATAAATTAGGATTACTTGATGCATTCAATTGTTTTTGGTCACTTCCTTTTTCATCGGAAATGAATACCAACTTTTGATTTTTAAAAGGCACCCTCATCGGTACTTTTTTACTTTATTCGATAGAAAATAACACTCTGAATAGAATGACATATCATATGTCAACTTTTGACATTTTCGCATATGGTTCATTTGAAATTGTAACTTGCGGTTCGTAACGAAATGAGCCACCCTCGTTCCATTTGAAAAAATTGAGATACAATTAAAAATACGATTTGATCATTGTCTAACTGGCCAGGACAAGACACTAAAAGATTAGACAATCAAATCTATTTTTCCAAGGCTCCTTGATTAAGAATTAGTGCTTTTAGCATAACCATGGCACTCTAGATTGAATTTTAAAATTCAATTCTGTTTTAAGCGAGAATGTCAAAAGTTGACATATGATATGTCATTCTATTTAGAATGTAATTTTCTATCGAATAAAGTAAAAAAATATCGAGAGTGCCATTTAAAAATCAAAAGTTGCAGTCATTTCCGGTGAAACAGGAAGTGAACAAAAACAATTGAATACCGTCAATCAATCCTAATTTATGTCATACTAACATACCAAATCTCGTTTTTTTATCTGAAAAAATAAAAAAGTTATAGGGGTGATCCAGTTTTGAGACGCACCCGGTATATAAACTGAATTTTTGTAATTTGCCGCCATAGCGAATGTTAACATTATTTTCTTTTTGTTATCGGGTAAGGCGAAAAAAATTCGCATTTTCCCATTTTTTATAAATCGCTCAATAAAAAGTCTTATTTTCTGGGAATTTTTGGTACACCCTGTACTATCTTTTTATATATGAATGTTTTTGACTAATCCTCAGATGGTTGGTGTTGATTGCAGGGTAAAATACAAAAAAACCTTAAGATAAAATATATACATTACCTTTGCTGTTTTTCTGTTAAATGGTCTTTTATGTGTCAAGCCAGACTGATAGAATGCCTCATAAACGTTTAGAATCTTGGTTACTAGTCATTGAAAGGCAGAAAGCTACTTGCGAATGAATTATATACAATCATCCGTGATAAGATTGATTTTATTTCAAATCGAGTTCATACTGGAACTTTTCCAATGTGTATTTTTTATAATTCTGAATAAAGAAAAGTATGTAGACAGACATCTTATTTTGTACTAGGACATTTTTTACCGACATGAAAATAATAAAAACGACATATATGTAACGATCGGTCTATGTTTTATTTGGTTTAAAACTTTGGCACAGATAGTAGTATATATAGAAGTGTATTAAACAATATTAGATATATCTCCATCCTAATTTTAATTTATGTTTTAGATATTTTACCCATTTTTGAAGTTCATCTCTTCCAGCTAGGTTCATATTTTCTTGTGGGTCCACGACAAGATCATAAAGTTCTCTACCATGAACCTATAAGTAAAATTATGTGATACTCACTCCCTATAACTTTACCCCCTATAACTTTTTAATTTTTTCAGATAAAAAACGAGATTTGGTATTTTAGTATATAACATAAAATTAGGATTGATTGACGTATTCATATATTTTTTATCACTTCCTGTTTTACCAGAAATGACTACAACTTTTGATTTTTAAATGGTACCTTCAGTATATTTTTACTTTATTCGATAGAATATAACCCTCTGTGAATAGAATTACATAGTGGAAATTGTAACATGCGGCTCATAGCGACAATTTGACTCAAAATACCAAGTGTCTGGTTCCAAATTATTGGTAAAAAAGCTTTTTCCAAATATGCTAATGAGTCACCCTTGTTCCATTTGAAAAAAAAAATAGATTACACTCTAGATTACAATTTAAAATACGATTATTTTAAGCGAGAATGTCAAAAGTTGAGGTACGATATGTCATTCTATTCAGAGTGTCATATTCTATCGATAAAAAAAATACCGAGGATGCCCTTTAAAAATCAAAAGTTGTAGTCATTTCCGGTGAAACAGGAAGTGACTAAAACAATTGAATACGTCAATCAATCATAATTTATGTCATATACTAACACACTAAATCTCCTTTTTTATCTAAAAAAAAATAAAAAAGTTTAGGGGTGAGTCACTTTTGAAACGCATCCGGTATACATATACTATTAAGCTCAAAAATATATAACTTTAGTCTGAAAATATGTGTGAACCACTATGTATATTGACACAAAATATTGTTAAAATATGCGTTATGCTAATTTTTTACGTTTTCTGTTTTTTTTATGTTAATATTTTTTTAAAATGATTGGGGTGAAAATTTACCAGAAACTTTGCTATAGCGCTTTTTCCTCACTCTGTATTTTAGATTTTACCTTTTCCCAATTTGCAGTAAAATTATCAGGATTAAAATCAACCCATTCTGTATATCTAAATCTCCTTGTAATCATCGAGTAGCCCATAATTTTAATGTCACGTAAAATAGGTTTATCACTATTTGGTTTTAATGTTGGGTAAGGTCCAGGTCTCGGATACTGAGTAAACACTGCTGACTTTCCTTTGATCTTCTAAAAATACATGTAGGTATCATAATATAGGGTTATAATAATTTGCATTAAAGTTACTTGTTTTTCTACTGCTTCTAACATGACGGGCAGTAAACTTCTCCCTTCAGTGCATGTATTTAATTTTATATTTTTAGGGCATTTTGTCAAGGGCTCAGCAACTTGAGTCAAATCTACCAAAGTTGGAAAAAGATCGACAAGTTCCGTTAGTGCGTGTATTACAACTTTGTTGTGTGATAATTTAGGAACATGTATGATTAAAGGCACATGCGTGGCTTCCATGAAATTACTAAATTTTGAAAATTCACCGTGTTGTCCAATAGACCATCCTACACAAAACGGGTAATTATCCTTTATTGAAAGTATGGTCTTCAGTAAAACTCTGATTTGAGATTTTTGTAGTGTCTATTAAATTTTAAGCCAAAGCAGTGTAGAAAAATTTCCAAAATCAGTTCAACGGAAATAGGACCCTACAAGTTAACACGCCCCCAATGAATAAGCCACGCCCACTAAGTCACTGGCTTAAAGGGGGAAAAAGAAGTGTTTCAGCTCCATAACAAGAAAAAAATTATTAAAGGAAATGTGAGTCCGAAATCAGAGTTTTACTCATTCTCTTTTATACTAAAGGCTGGCAAAGGTTAGTTTTGGGTCGAGATTTCCGTATGTAAGAAGAGTACAATGCGTTTATAATGTACTGAACAAAGAGAGAACTGTAAAAAGGTTGCCAAACGTATGAAATAAACCCAGAATATGTGCACATTGCTTAGAGACGTGGAAGGGGATACAGCAGATTTGTCGCAGTCGACCGGTCGACCCAATCAGTACCTATGTCAGTACTTAAAATTCTAGGGAAAGGTGTACATCATGCGTTCAGCTTCACGATTTAATTACGTCTCGTGATACTGTATTTGTTTATTTATTAACGAGTCGTTGTAATTTTCTCTATAGCTTCTAAATTTTTAAGTGCAAGTTAGAAACTTGCACTTTTGATAAAAATAAGTGGAATTGAGTTGGTATTCAGTAATTGACAGTGGTCGGGCTATTAGAACTCTGAATTCCAAAATCGATATCTCGAAATCCATTAGAAACAATTGATTGTAGTTTTTTTTCAAAAACTTTCTTAATATTTCTGCTATATTTTCTTCGCAGACTGTATGTGAAAATATTTATAAATAAAAAAATTACATGATTGCTGAAAATTGCTATGCACTAAAAGTAAATGAATGGTTTTTTTGAATGAAAAAAAAAAAAACCTATCGAATTTTTCTTATTTAAACATCTTGTAAAAGATCCGAACTTCAAAATAAAAATAAAGTTTCAATATCTAAAGTAGTTCATGAGTTATCACGTGTTATGTTTAAAAAGTTGAGTTTTTAAATTATCGCAATTACTGACGTTTCCTCGTTATAAAAAATGACACCCTAACGATATCCTTATAATTCCATTTCAGATGCTCAGAAACATATCTAATTATTTTTTGGAAAAAAGTCTTTTCAAAATAAGCGGTTTGCGATCGTGGTTTTACTTTACTTGATAGGGAAAGGCGTACCGGAGAAATATAGCAACGCCGCAAATTTCTCTCACTCCGACTTAATAAGATCCCTATGCGATTTACTTCCACACATGTAAATACCGACCCAAAACTAAGAGTTGCCAGCACGGTATGTGTTTAAATATCTTACCATGATCAGAAGTCAAAACAACAATTGTTTCTTCTAAATTAACCTCGTTTAAAATTTGCCCTATTAGGTCATCTACATACGTTACAGATGCATAGTATGCCTGTTTAATTTTTTTTATATCATTATCTGGAATTGGTCCAAACGGAAAAGATATATTAAGCTTTTTAATGTCGTCCCGAAGTCGAATGTCAGTCCATGGATTCCAAGCGACCTCTGGTAATAGAGATGGTCTAAAGCGATTAACTGGTATCGATATATTTTCCAACGGATGAAAATCTTAAAAGTCATAATTTAAGAGCTCAAATTTTTTCGGAATATTTCAGGGTGGCCCAGTATTCCGAAAGACTATATCGGGTTTCCCATTTAAGATTTTTACTCCAAGATATACGGACAATAATATCACACTTTCTAAAATATTTTATAGTACCTAAATAATATACAGGGTGGTCCGAACTGTATTCCGGAAACTTCGGCAGCATATTCTGCAGATTAAAATAAGTAAAAAAGTTCGTATAAATATATGCCCTACAATGCTTAGTTTCGGAGATGCAGGGTGTAGAAGTTGCTTTTTTTATTTCGATTTTTCCAAGTAATTTCTGAAGTAACGTCAATATGTGGATGAAAATTGGTGTCTGGAAGTTTCTTGACATGAGAAATTTTGATGTCATATGACTCCGATTTGTAGGGGGCGCCACCTACATGTGTTTTAACTGTTTTGAAAAGTAATCACTTTTCGTCCGTACCTGTGTAAAACTACTGAGTGAAAAAATATATATCTCCGTGACTTTTTACCTAAGACTTTTTATCCTTTTTCTCAAGATATTTAGAATGGAAATAGTCAATACACAATATTGACAAAAAATAACCACGTTGAGTAAAAGTAGTTATCTGACTGAAAAAAATAAATTTGAGAAATTTTTATTTTTTTTTAAATTAATCATAAATATTTCTGCGAAAAAATGATGAGAAAACAGTTTCTGTTGAACTTTTGATACAAAAATATTTCAAATTGTTTATTTCAGTCTAATGTTTAATTTATGTCAATGATGACAGATATTAATAATTTCGATTCCAAATATCTCGAGAACCATTATTCGTTACGATTTTTACCAAAAAAAACTTTTCTACGTAAAAAACGTCGTAAATATATATTCTTTTACTCAGTAGTTTTATACAGGTATGGACGAAAAGTTATTATTCTTTAAACCAGTTAAAAAATATGTAGGCGGCGCTCTCTACAAGTAGGAGTCATATTGACATCAAAATCAAATTTCTCATATCAAAAAACTCCCAGTCACCAATTTTCATCCAAATAATGACGTTATTTCAGAAATTATTTGGAAAAATCGAAATAAAAATGAAACTTCTACACCCTGTATCTCCGAAACTAAGTATTTTAGAACATACATTTATACGAACTTTTTTACTTATTTTAATGTGCAGAATATGCTGCCGAAATTTCCGGAATACAATTCGGACCACCATGTAGGTATGTTACCGAGAATGTTACATTATTTTTTTAACTGTGTGCGTATAATATTCTTCCGCTCAGTGCCATAAAATTGCAATTCCAAAAATACTACATTGTAATTCAAAATCTTTACCAAGTTGTCGTACGATGTGATATATTTTAGAATAAAAGTTAAAGAGCTATACCTATAGTTACAAATAGCATTTTTTTAATAGAATAGAAATATTTTTTAAGGGTCTTTTTCAATCAATTTCAGTATAGTACGGTGATAGTACAGGGTGAATCAAATCTAGATGTTTTATTATAATGGTAACTTCATTCAAAATCAATGTTTATGACCAATTTTCTGTTTTACAATAATTATTTTTAGCTGTATTATACAATAAATCATACTTATTAATCTGTCAACTAAATATGTGGAAAAAATCATGAAATTAATAACGTTTTCGATTAGCGCTATTTTTTTTGTGCGGTAGTATTATATTCTTTACTCTTTGGTAGTATTTGTTATTCTTAATTTTAGTCTATTATCTATGTTCCTAATTTCAGGTTTGGTTCGGTTTGGTTTGGATGAGAAGAGTACATCAGAGTACTTTGGAATTTATGGACTTAAAAATACAAATAATAATTCAATATACATGAATTTGCGATATTAGACATTTAAAATGGCTTTTAAGGTACAGAAAATTTAGTCTTAATAATAATCATGGGCATTTTCCGATGATTCTCGGCATATTTTATAAAAAGCCAGGTGAGAATCTCATCAAACAGGAAAACTTATTTTTTTTTGGAATACTGAGTTACCCTGTATAACATTTAAAATACCTAAATAAGAAACAGGAAACTTGAAAGGAATGTGTGGTTTATGTAAACCTACCGCTAGAAAGAACGGCAATGTTTTATTTCTCTCATTTAGAAAACGAATAGCCTCTTTTGTTGACTCTATAAATTTCAAGTATTATTTCAGACTGTTGTAAGTATACAGGATGTTTCAAAAAATATGTGCCATCTCTCGTGGGGAATTCCTCACGTAAAAATAAGATTTATTTTTTATATCAACATAGGTCCGATATTGCTTTGTTTCGTAACTACAGGGGGGGGTTCAATTTTTTTTTTCGATTGATTATTATAATTTTCTTCCAAATTCTTTTAGCGATTCGAATTAAATTTTGACGGTAAAAGATATATGGTTACTGCTACATATTTTAATGCAAAAAGTGTCCAGGGATTTACCACGGACGTGCATATGGGTTATATCACTGGAATATTTTTCTAAAAAATCATGTACGCCACTGTTTTTTTGAAAAATATGCCTGTGATATCCCATATGTACCTGGTATAGTCCTATAAGTCCCTAATGAATCTGTGAACACTTTTTTAGCATTAAAATATGTAGCACTTATAGTAACTTTTACCACAGATTTCAAAAGAAATTTCAAAAGAGAAACTTCAAAAGTTCCTCAAAAGCATTGTTTTTCGTGGTTCCAATTTTCGGAGTTGCGCACTAGTTAGGTTACTAGTTTGCGCACATAGCACGCCCACTTATGGCTTCTAAAATTGTGCACAGCGCCTGACCGGCCTAGTTATGCGCTGTTTAAACGCGAGTTTATTTTTCCGCACAGGAAATTTTACTCGTTTGCTTATCGTCAATCGTCATAAAAAACAATTTTCGTACCATGAATTAGCGACAAGATTTTATCTGTATACATATAGTATACCTAATCTGTGCTTTTCGAATCGCGAAAATCCATAGAGTTAAAAATAAACGAAAATCATTTGGAAGAAAATTTTAATAAGTCAAAAAGAAAATGAAAAATTTAACCCCCCGTAGCTACGAACTACGAAACAACGCAGAATCGGACCTATGTTGATATAAGAACGAGAGATGGCAGGCATAAACACCCGCCCTGTATATATTTTTTGTACCTATATCTGGTAAAGTTTTAAGGGGTTGAAATCTTGTAATTACTGGACAAATTAAATTGGTAGATAAGGTACCATCATTATTAGGACACACTTTGGCATTTTTGAATTTAAAAGTTGCAGGATGAAAAGGTGTTTCACTCCAACTATAAGGCTGATCATCAGAAAAATTTGATGATATTCCTACAAGATAAATATTATAGTGTTTTTGGATGGGTATTGTATTGTTAATCTAAGGGTATTGTCTGTCCAAAGAAGATTATGACAGACGACAAGGATGTCGTCTATCGAAATTATCCTTGATTTGTTGGATAGACAGACTTATTTTATATTTATCTGAACCTGGATGAAAAACTTTTCCAATTGAATGTGTATGATATCCGTTTTCTTTGAATAACTGAGGTATTGTAGTAAAATTTCCTACTGTATCTCTCCAATAACTATAAAAATCATATAAGTGAACAGAATCAGGTCTTCGGCTTGTTAATAATGAATTTCTGCTAGGGGCACAAAGTGCTTGCTACAAAAAAGAAAAAACTTATTGCTGCGAAATATAGTCTGTTCAATGAGTCGAGAGGATTTCGACAAACGACATTCAAAAAATGGCAGACAAATGTCACTATCGGTATTCTCTCGTTGGACAAACTATATATTTTATCAAACCTGGGCATAAGTTGATTTGAAGAGAAAGCTTTGTGAAGACATTTTATCAATATTCGGGCTATAAGCATTATCATCTTTATAGCAACTTAACGCTGGACGCAAATCGTCTAGAATTATAAAAAGGACATTATTTTTACTAGAATCGCATACATGAATGAGGTAAATAATATAAAGTAAAACTTTAAACATTACTGCACGGATTAATTAGATGTTAAATTATTTGATATAGTTTATATTCAATAATAAATAGAAATCTCTGTAGAAATAGAAACATGAGAAACATATGAGAAATGAGAAACATCTAAAATGACTAAAATCCAACTAAAATCTAAGAGAAACATCAATAGATCATACGACCATAGATCTATAGATCATAACCTGTGATCATAACACAGATCATAAAATAGAATAGAATAGACGAACAAACCCGAGATTGTCTTTTGTGTTCTAGATCATATATAATTTATACCGGTAATATCAGTAAGTAGTACCGTAATATGAAGCTAGTAACTCCCTATTAGTAAATTATAAAAAGTAAAAGAAGAGAAATTTAGCTTTTGGCCGTAAAATAAAACGAAGAGGTGTCATTGTCATTATTGTCACTGTCACTAATTTTAAAAGGAGCGTGTCAACAAATTTCTGAAGATTTTTAAGTTTTTTTGTGTAAAAAATCTTTAGGTACTTAGTTATTTAATAGATAATTCCTGTGCAGTTGTTGAATCGCCGTTACCCACCATTCTATTTATTTTAGGAAGAAGGAAGAACAATGGCTCTTCCCTCAAACTACAAACAAGTGGCCATGCAAATGGCTAGTCCGCAAGCATCAAACCGTAAGATAAATTATACCAATATTTTACTTCATTATTTCTTCGCGTATATGTAGATTTTTTATTGTATCATTTAGTTAAGAAAATAAAAGGACTTAGATCCGCTTGCGATCGCATGAGTACAATTTTTAAGTGGACCTCTTTTATTTGCAATCTCCAAAGTATTCAGTTCTGTTAGGAAATGTTTTATTTATTTTTTAAGGGCATGTTAGATTAATATTTGATTCTATATTAATTTTATATATAAGCTAAACGACAATGATGTGTATTGATGTACTATTTGGTTTTAAAATAGTATTAGTTTTTAAGTCGATACATATCATTAAAAGTTTTGTAGACTAGTGCTGATGATATGCTTTGTTTGTGTTTGTTGTTCAGATTTGATGTCGGCTGGCGCTCCCATGACTTTCAACATATTGAAAGGTAACTGCCTATATACTATCAACTACTTAATATTAACGATAAGAAATTTATTTTGTACAGCTTATTACATTTAATTTAAGTTGCTTTGCTCTAGCTTAGATATTTACTCAAAATGAAGTTTAGCTAAAATATAACTATATATTTTTTATTAACCTCCAGTATATTTTTATTTTAAAAATTAGAGCCTTGCATATTGTTTTCAGTAGTTTTATAAATTAAAAAAAAGTTATTGTGTGTCTATAATTTTGGTAAGTTTAAATGTGTTTTATTGCATGATTTGGGTAGTTTCAACTATATTTTGGAATCTATTAAAACATCTATTTTTCTTATAGAGAGATTAAGAGCATCTGGTAGTTCAAGTTCATCATCATCAGTAAGTTTTTGAAGTAATGATATTTTTTTTACATTTATAATTTGTGTCATTGTTTATATAGAAAGAGACAAATCCGTTTGTTTCTACACCTAATGGAAATCCAGGATTTGTCCCCCAAAAAGTTGGTACAGGAAAGGCTGTAAGTTTTTTTGTATACTTAATCAGTAGAAAATATATCTACTTGTTTTAATATCTCAGAAAACTGAAGCAAAAATCCTGAAACCACCCAAGGCGCCAGAAAAACCTTTAATGCCCTACATGAGGTATAGTAGAAAAGTATGGGATGCAGTGAAGGCCCAGAATGCTGATTTAAAACTATGGGAAATTGGAAAAATTATTGGTCAAATGTGGAGGGATCTGCCGGAGGATGAAAAACAAGAATTCATTGAGGAATATGAAATAGAGAAGGTCTTTTTATTTTGAAAAGTATTTCTACTGTTGTCAATTGAAATTGATTTTTTTTAGGTTGAATATGAGAAATCTTTAAAAACTTATCATAGTTCGCCAGCTTATCAAGCATATATTGTTGCAAAGAATCGTGGGAAATCAGGTAAGAAGTGTCATTATATTATTAAATTGTGTTCTTTGACTTACTTTGTAATCTGTTATGCACAGGGTTGGATAACGACACATAGAAAATTAATTTTCTATGTGTATGTAGAAAAGTGCGTAGAAAATGTACAATATAGAAAATACTGTAGAGAATATAAAATTCTCTACCTACCCAACCCTGGTTAAGCATAATAATTCTGTGTTTATTGTCTGTAACCAAACATAATTTTAGCTGCTCAAGGTACCGATGGAGATAGCCATGAAAGAAGTTCTGGATCCTCAAAACAGGCTGCTGATAGAAGAATTGAAATTCAGCCAGCAGAAGATGAAGATGGTGAATAATACTGATGCGTCGATGGCTATAACAATATTTATTCACATATTTTTATTCTTAGATCAAGACGATGGGTACTCAGTGAAACACTTAGCTTATGCTCGATACTTGAGGAACCACCGGCTCATCAACGAAATTTTTTCCGAGTCTGTCGTTCCGGACGTAAGATCGGTAGTCACGACTGGTCGTATGCAAGTATTGAAGAGGCAAGTTCAGTCACTGACTATGCATCAAAAAAAGCTAGAGGCCGAGCTGCAACAAATCGAGGAAAAGTTCGAAGCTAAGAAACGGAAATTCATAGAGAGCAGTGACCAGTTTCAAGAAGAATTAAAAAAAGTAAACTTTAATTACACTTTGCGCCTTATCTTATGCTGATCTACACAATGAACCAGTGTTTCCAACTGGTATTTTCACTCCCACTACTACTCTGCGGGGAATTATACATAGGGATACTCCAATGTTTTATTTTTTATGAATTAAATATTTTCTGCATATTTTTTTGTTTAGTAATTTGGCCATAAAATTTTCATCCTAATAATACAATATGATCGGAAAAAAACGGCGTCAGCGATGGCTATGAAATCGAGATCGCTGTCATTTTATATGTATAATTATATGTATAGGGAACGTCATTGATGTCCATTTCCAAACCAACTGGACTCCTTTTTTTTTCGACCATATGGTACTATAACTCTTTTAAATCTCAATCTAAAATACTATAACGCCGAAATCTATACATAGTGGTTTCTGAAATATGACCTTTAGACTCAATTTTCTGCACCATTTAAACTCTCTCGCAATTGGAAAATTGGATATCACTGGTTATATTTTATAGTAAGTACATATTATATGTTAGTGATTTCATCAAAACCAATCATGTTAAAATATTATGTTAAATTTCTCAGAATTTACAGGGCGAGTCAAAACTATTACATTAAATAGGGTATTCTTTATTTTATACTATAAAGCATTCCACTAAAAAGTCTACCATTTTAGTTTAAGATCGTATTTGAATTACTCCCTATATCTATGAAAATATTATTAGTGTGCGCTGCTTTACCACCATATGTGAAAGCTTTCTTGGAACACTGCGTTACCCTGTATAAAAATTATTCTATTATCACAAGAAAAATATAAGGCCTAAGGCCGGTATTATACTATAAAATTTCTTTGAGAATATAAGTGTATTATACAATATTTTATAAAATATTGTATACCGGGTGCGTCTCAAAAGCGGCTCACCCCTATAACTTTTTTATTTATTCAGATAAAAAATTGAGATTTGGTATGTTAATATATGACATAAATTAGGATTGATTTACATATTCAATTGTTTTCTGTCGCTTTCTGTTTCGCCGGAAATGACTGCAACTTTTGATTTTTAAATAGTACCCTCGGTTTTTTGTTGCTTTATTCGATAGAAAATGATACTCTGAATAGAATGACATATCATATGGCAATGACATTTTCGAATATGGTTTATTTGAAATTGCAACATGCGATTCATAAAGACAATTTGACTCAAAATACCAAGTGTGTGGTACCAAATTATTCGTAAAAAATGCTTTTTCCTAATATGCTAATGAGCCACCCTCGTTCCATTTGAAAAAAATGAGATATGATTAAAAATACGATTTGGGCATCTTTGAACCAGCCCGGACAAGACACGAATAACATTAGACGATCAAATCTATTTTTCCAAGGCTCCTTGACTAAATATTAGTGTCTTTAACACAGCCATGGCACTCTAGATTGAAATTTAAAATTCAATTTTGTTTTAAATAAAATGTCAAAAGTTGACATATGATATGTCATTTTATTCAGAATGTCATTTTCTATCAAATAAAGTAAAAAAATACCCAGGGTGCCATTTAAAAATCAAAAGTTGTAGTCATTTCCGGCGGAACAGAAAGTGACAGAAAACAATTGAATACGTCAATCAATCCTAATTTATGTCATGTACTAATATACCAAATCTCGTTTTTTTATCTGAAAAAATAAAAAAGTTATAGGGGTGAGCCACTTATAGTATACTGTCAATCTTCTCATGAAATATCTTTTATAAAAGATATTTGATGAAAAATTTGACAGTGTAATTTACAACATTTTTAAAAAATATTCTTCATAAGATATCTTTTAAATAAAATCTTTAACAAAAAACTTTTATCGTATAATACCGGCCTAATACAAAAGGGAGAAGAAACAAAGTAACCGCCTCAATCTAATACTGTCTAGAAAAAAAAATCATTCAACTCATTATAATAGAAAAAAAGTATGTATCTCTGATAACACAACTAATAAGAAAGATGGTACTTAATTTCGAAAGCTATTTACAATATGTAGTGTAAAACAAGTATTATTATTATTAGTTAAAATCGTGTTTAAAACAGTAAAAAATCATTTAAATCAAAGGAACAGAAAAAAATTGGCGCCGGGAGGCACGTATAGCCGCCCATACTAAAATATATTAATATTTCAAAACCGACTTTGATTTTGATGTTATTACAAAATTTGTTGCAAATATTATTATTAATATTAAATTGAAAACAGCGTTTCTCTAGCTACTGTAATTTTGGAGTTACGATTTTTCAAAATTTTTAACCCCCTCCCATACCCCCTTACCAACCCCCCACCACCACAAAATCTAATGGCCAGATTCTCGGGTGCCACAGTATTTTTGTGCCAAATTTGGTTTAAATCGGTTTAGCGGTTTTTGAATTATCGTGTTACAGACGGACAGACAGACAGACACCATGAAAATATTTTGTATTTAGGTCATTTATGACCCAAATAACTCATTTTGAGTGAAATTAAAAAAAAAATTCCCGATCTTAATAGCCTACCATACCTGTTGGTATGGTCGGCTAATAAAAATACGTTTTTTATAAAAATATTTTTTTTAACCCTGTAGTTTATAAATTTCAAAATAGTTTTATTGATCTCCAACAACTGAGGTTTTCTTATCATCTGCATGTTTTATAAAAAAAAATATTGAATTGAAAATATCAAATAGTAAATATTGTTGTGAAGTCTTTTTGCAACATTGGGTATAAAATGACGTTATAGCAAGGACTTAGCATATTTTGCAAATTTCAAACAGGTATGTTTTAACTAAAACGTCTGATTATATTTCAGCATTGTAAGCCAGCCGTTGACGACGACGCATTTGTTAAAATGGTGGAAAAACAGTATGAAGTTCTTAAAAAGGAGAGATTGAAGGTGCAGGATGAACCTAAAAGACCTGGTCAGAACGGTTCCGCAGAGTCAATAAGTCTGATGTCCCAGCAAAATGGTCATGAGGAACAAGAAGAACCGATGGACACGACGCCTTCTCAACCTACGCCTAGCTTAAATGGCAGTAACCATCCCGATAAAGCAGAATTTCAGGCCGGACCTCAGCAAGCACCCTCTAGCGGACATTTGCAGGCGCCCCCTAGCGGACATCCGCCACCGGTTGTTGCAGAACATCCTCCGCCTCATACAGCTGTTCCTGTCGTTCCGAGTAATGTTGCGCCTCAGATTTCTTCTGCGCATGTTCCATCGCCGGTAAGAAAAGTTTTAAAATGATTAACTATATTTTTTATAATATTTATAAACTATTATATAACGTGGTTTTTAACGATATTGGTTTGGTTTATTGTAAAATTTTGTAATTTGTTCATTGTGAATATCACTGACTATGAACAAACCAAAATGAACGTGTAAAAAAGCAGTAATGCCAAAAATTATTTTGAACTGAAACTTCATAATGCGCGATGGGAGTAACAATTCAAGGCCGTGACAAATTAATTTTTTTTCTCTTCTTAAATACATTTAAGCGTTAAAAAAGATTTCAGTTAACGTTTTCTTTTTGCTGCCAGGGCTAATCTGGACTTTGTTTACGCGGAATCCGAACCGCGGTCCTCGGCCATATCATGGTCAATGGCCTACCGACTTGGCAAGTGTCTAAATCGACTCTTACTCACGAGATATCCGATCTCATCCGGCCTCGAACCGGCGTGAATGAGCAGTGTGTGTCAATAGATTTTACACTTTTGCCTTTTTTTTGGACAACAGGACGATACACAGTTTCGAACCGGTCACCCGTCCATCCACTAGTATTGCCTTACGTCGCTTAACTTCGGTGTTCTAATGGGAACCGGTGTTTCGACGTAGCTGGGCCGTTGCCCTATTTAAGCATTAATATTATTAGACATTTACATAAAAGTGTGTATTTTGGGTGGTATTCCACAAAATCTGTAGGCTCTTGAGGAAACAGAAAATGAAATATCACTTTTTCGAACGTGTCCTTCAAATCCTCCAATTTAATAGCTCTTAGTAAGAAGTTTCACTTCAAATACGCGAAATTATGACCGAAATAATTGAAAGTATAGGTTGAAAAGAAAGCAATGCTATTTCATCCTCATATTATTTTTTTATAAACTAAAAAAAGTTGCCTATCTCTAGTTATGGTATGATTGACTGGAATCCTGCAATGCCCCTTTTTACCTGTTGTAATACGTTTATAATTTTATTTTAAGTTGATTTTTTTCTTAAAGATCGCTAGGTGTTAATAAAAAACAATAAACAAATTCAAACAAAAAAAAATTGAACTCTAAAGTTAATTTTATTTATTAAAATAAAACAGCTTTTGAGATTTTTGCTTTATATAGAATTATAACCTATATAATATATGTGAGATGTTACTGTTAGCACAGATTATACAGATTATAAACTTTGTTTTTTCTTTATTGTTTTTCGTGGTTCCAATTTTCGGAATCGGGCACTAGTTAGGTTAAAATATGGATTCCATCTTTTCCAATATTAAAGAACCTATAAAGAGGCTTAGGTTTACAGCAGATGACGACTTAGCCCTTCTAAGAGAATTTGTTGCTAAACCCACTGGCAGAGGTTGAACAATAAAGCACTGGAAATAAACACTTTAGCCCTTTAGTTTTAAAATACCTAGTAAACAAAACAATTTCAAAGTTAGGTTAAGTTTAAATAGCGGACGCGACGCGAACAGAATCCTTTCCGATCCGATAACAATAAATGAAGAGAGATTAACCTCACGTAAAGGAAATAACACCTGGCCTTATTAACGTCCATGCACACTATTCGGTTTAGCGATATCTCTCTATTACGATGTTTATTGTTATTTTACGCGAGTTTATTTTTTCGCACAGGAAATTTTACTCGTTTGCACATCGTCATAAAAAACAATTTTCGTACCACGAATTAGGGACAATATTTTTATCTGTATACTTCTTATAGGACACCTAATCTGTGCTGTTAGTTTTCAGTTATTATATTTGCGTCAATTATTTATTTTGAAATATGTTCAGCAGCCTCCACCAGCTGCAGGAACACATTCAGGACATCCACCGCATGGTCCACCTTCACAGAATCCAATGATGCCTCCTTCTCAACCCTATCCTCAGCAGTATCCTCCTCAAGGTAAGTGATTTATAAAAAATTATAACACAACACTGCCTTAACAGAAAGACAGCTCTGACATAATAAATCATCAAACAAAGCATAAAGAAACGCGCTTCGACTTTGAACAGTTTTTTATTACTTTTTTAAGTGTTTTTGTAACTTTTTTGCTATACAAAACAGTTTCTCTGTATCTCCCCACTCTATATGCATGCTGACTATCGTGCAGTTGTCTATATAGATGATTTTTTCAACATGTTTGTCCACTACTTTCTCCACCGTTTTTAGTCTGAATGATGTGAGACTAATAAACTAATAGGCCTAAACGATTGAGAGTTGGACCAGTCAGTTTTGCCTATTTTGGGTATGAACGTTACTTTTGCTCTTCCCCAGATGGTTGGTATATTCCATCGGTATATCCCATCACTGAGCTGCTTCCTGTAATGTTTAACAGATGGTGTGTAGGTATTTCCTGGCCCTTCTTTAAAAGGGTAGGGAAAAATCCCATCTACCCCTGCTGCTTTATAAGGCTGAAAGATGTCAATGACCTCTATCATCGCGACCTTACAGATATATTGTGTCCCCCTTTCTTGAGTTATGATGAGTTCATACAGTCTGAGGGATGGGTTGGTTTGATTGATTTATTGAACAAAAGTCAGTATCTGAGATGCGTTTACAGAGGTTAGTACTACATATCCAATATCACTCGTACCAAAGTATATGGCATGAATGGTTGTCGTCTCGGCGCACTCACTGATGAGGTGTTCTGATAGTTCACCATTTTCCTCACAGAATCTGGATTCGCCATTGTTTCCTAGCTTCAGTGTACTGAGGTTTTTGTTGAGGAGGCAGTGTCCTGTTAAACACCCCCCAACTAAACACCGATACTGAAAAAGTAGCGATGTCGACTAGCAGTCTAATGAATATTATTGTTAATGATTGTTATTATTTTCAAACATCAAATATATGAATTTTTATAGGAGCTCCCGTTCCTTCGCAACAAGGTGTTCCTTTACCTGCTCGGCCTCCGCCTCATTCGGGTTATGGATACGCGGCTCCGCCGCAAGGAGCGCCCGGATACCCACCGCCTCAGCAACAGGGATATCCACCGGCTCAGTATCCCGGTTACGGCCATTATCCGCCACAGGGGTATCCGCAGTATCCGCCCCACGGACAGGGAAGGCCGCATCCGTATCCTGGACCTCATGAAGGGGGTCCACAGGGAGAGAATCTACCACCTCCAAGCGGTTATGATAGTCCGTCGGGGCATAGCGATGCAGGAGGCATGGAGGGTGAAGATAAAGGTAACGTTTAATAATATGTAAACATTTTTTTTTAGATGACAAATAGTGTCCTAAAGTGAAAAACCATTCAGATACTTTATAATTTTTGTTTCTGACTTTTTTTTCGATAGTTCTGAAGAAAAATGAGAATTTTGAAAACATTTTGAACAAAAAGAAGAAAATTAAAATTGGGTACAAATAGGTATTATGAACCCTTCTTTTCAAATCCCAAACTCCCAATTTTGACTTCTAGTTTTAAAATTTGTTTTAAAAATGTTAGGAAAAATTACATGCCAAGAACTATATACAGGGTGTGATTGTCGTTATTTCAGGGTGGTCCGAATTGTATTCCGGAAACATCGGCAGAATATTCTGCAGATAAAAATAAGTAACAAAGTTTGTATAAATGTATGTTCTAAAATGCTTAGTTTCAGCGATACAGGGTGTAGAAATTTTTATTTCAATTTTTTCCAAATAATTTCTGAAGTAACGTTAATATTTGAATGAAAATTGGTGTCTGGAAGTTTTTTGACATGAGAAATTTGATTTTGATGTCAATATGAATCCCACTTGTAGAGGGCGCCACCTACATATTTTTTAACTGGTTTAAAGAGTAATCACTTTTCGACGCTTTTTACGTAGGAATGGTCTCTTGGTAAAAGTCGTTCCGAGTAAAGGTTGATTCTCACTATACCTTCCATATCAGCTCCCTTCTGTTTCCCTTCCGTTTACATAAAATATATTATATCATGTAAATGAATAGGACAATGTACACTATCCGTTCCGTTTTCCCTTCCGTTCCATATCCTTTCCTTCCGTACCTTTTTTGGCGGATGGACTGAAGCGTATCGGAAACAGCGTTGTCAAGTTCTTACATTTGTACCAGCGCTGTTAAAATTTTGCTGATTAAATCTTATTACCTTTTTCAAAAGATACAAATTTTTAAAATAAAATCTTTGTAATGATATAAATTTTACAATAAAAAGTATGGAACTGATACGGAACGGAAGCTTACGTATAGCGTCCATACAATAAAAATATGGAACGGATATGGAATGGAAACGGAAGGTATAGTGAGAATCAACCTTAATAGTTCTTGAGATAATGGGAATCGAAATTATCAATACGTCGTCATTAACATAAATTATACATGTTGACTAAATAGTTTCATTAGACTGAAATCATAAATTTGAAATGTTTTTGTGTCAAAAGTTCAACAGAAACTGTTTTATCATCATTTTTTAGCAGAAAAATTTATGAATAATTTAAAAAAATAAAAATTTCTCGAATTTATTTTTTCAGTCAAATAACCAACTACTCAATGTGTTTATTTTTTGTCAGTAATGGCATGTATTGACTATTTCCATTCTAAATGTCTTAAGAACGGTTGTTCGTATCGATTTTTACCAAAATACATTTTTTACGTAAAAAGTAACAGAGAAGTATATTTTTTTTTCACTCAGTAGTTTTATAAAAGTATGGACGAAAAGTTGTGACTCTTCAAAATAGTTAAAACACATGTAGGTGGCACCCCCTACAAATGGGAGTCATATTGACATCAAAATCAAATTTCTCATGTCAAAAAACTCCCAGACACCAATTTTCATCCAAATATTGTCGTTATTTCAGAAATTATTTGGAAAAAATCGTAATAAAAATGAAACTTACACCCTGTATCTCCGAAACTAAGCATTTTAGGACATACATTTATATAAACTTTTTTACTTATTTTTATCTGCAGAATATGCTGCCGAAGTTTCCGGAATACAGTTCGGACCACCCTGTATATAGTTCATATCAAATAAACTTTTAGTCACGTGATTAAGCTTGACTTTTAGACAGTGTGTCAAAACAAATGCGAAAAACTTCAAGGGGTGATTCCTTCTTCAAAATAAAGGGTAGTTTGCTTCATAAACGTTGGGTCAAAAGTCAACCATTAGGGAGATATTGCGGTACAAAGATGGCGGAAAATAATGTTTTTATTTTTTATCTTGAAAACGAAAAGAGATAGACTAATAAAATTTTATGGAAGCATTACTGTTATGAAAACACACTTTCTGGTAATTTTTTCACTTTTTTAAAATGAGTGGAAGGGGTTGAAATAAACTACCCCTATCATTCTTGTTACGAAATTTAAAGAAAAATCTTATCAGACACATGCAAAAAAATTAATTTGGATAGTTTAGTTTGTTTAGAAACTTTTTATCTCTTGTATTTTTTTGATAAAACTCACCGATTTGAAATTAAAAAATAAAATGTAAAGCATTACATGTCAGGACAAAAAACATTTTCTGATAAAGAATCTAGTGGGCTGCTGTAATTTTTGAGGAAAAAATCTAGTCGGCCGCTGTTACTTTTTTAGGATGTTCCTAATATTATTTTATTTGACATTACTCTACTGCAATACGTTATTATCTAGATGATTATTATTATCGTTATTATCACTAGATTCTTAATCTAAAAATGTTTTTTGTCCTGACATGTAATGCTTTTACATTTTATTTTTAATTTCCAATCGGTGAGTTTTATCAAAAACACAAGAGAGGTAAAAGTTTCTAAACAAACTAAACTATCCAAATTAAAGCATTTGCATGTGTTTGATAAGATTTTTCTTTAAATTTCGTTAACAAGAATGATAGGAGTAGTTTATTTCAACCCCTTCCACTCATTTTAAAAAAGTAAAAAAATTACCTGAAAGTGTGTTTTCATAACAGTAATGCTTCCATAAAATTTCATTAGTCTATCTCTTTTCGTTTTCAAGATAAAAAATAAAAACATAATTTTTCCGCCATCTTTGTACCGCGATATCTCCCTAATGGTTGACTTTTGACCCAACGTTTATAAAGCAAACTACCCTTTATTTTGAACAAGGAATCACCCCCTAAAGTTTTTCGCATTTGTTTTGAAACACCCTGTATATTTCTTTTAATCAAAATATTTTAGAAAACAAAAATAAATTAATTATAAATATATGGACAATTATTATTTACATCAACAAAACGCACACTCCTTAACTAACCTCCTGTTCAAAATATTCTAATAAAGTTGCGATGAGTTTTTTACGGTTATTAAGCTATCTTGTACACTTCGCACTAAAAGAGATTCTACAATGTTCGACTGCAAGGTCTGCATTTAATTGTTGCTCAATTAAATATAGAAATCGAATTAAATATAGGAATCGATATTTCGTGAATTTAGTGCACAAAAAAACTCAAGGGAGCGCTTCTTTTACTTTCATTTCATAACATATAAGTCAAAATTCTAAAGGGGGATGTTTTGTGAATTCTTAATATTTTTAATATTTTTAGGATTTATATTCTCTCTTCAGTTTGTGTTGGTTTATAAACTTTTAGCATTAGTTTCAGTAGTGTCGTTTACTTTTAACCATATATGCTTATTTTTAGGATTCAAAAAAGAAGTTGGTAGTGAAAAGGAAAAAGACGACAGCCAGTAAAAGAAATCTCGATATATTTAGTTTAGGAGTTAAGGAGGTAAAACATAGAATATTTGTTTTTTTGTAAAAATTGTGTGGTATATTGATTGATTCTTGTTTAAAAGAATTACATCTTTATTTAAATGTGTATACCGCCAAAACCAGTAATTATTTAATTTAAGAAAAATATATACACTTATTAAATTTTAAAATTCATTTATATACAAATGTTGTAGGTGTATTTTTATTTTAAATGAATATGACACATGAACTACTTTAGTATATACCTTGATATAATCACTGGCGTAATATGAGTTTCCAAGATATTAAAGAATAAAGTGATTTTTCTAGAATAAAGGTGTCTGTATTTTTTTATTAACTTATACTTTAATGCAGACGGTAACTTGAAACATATGACTCACAAGGGAATATATACAAATAAAACTTAAGGTTTAATAATTTATTTATTACATTAAATTTAAAATTACATGGCCACAAAACATTAATCGTATCTACTAAACTAACCTAACAAAACGTTATCTCACAGAAAAAGGATAAAGTGATTTAAGGTAATCTTTATTTTATAAATACGAAATTTTCTCAGCACATAAAACACCTTTTCTTAAAGATTATGCCTTGCAAAATGTGATTTCTCAATCTTCTTTTTCTTCTGTACACATTAAGCTACATTTATTCATAAATTTAAAGCTTGAAAAACTTAAGGGTACTGATTGACTCTTTTTTGGAAAATTTTTGATATGAAATAGCTACTGAACAACGAAAAAGAGAAGGATTTTATGAAATCAAACAGTACGTTACTTGCTTATTATTTACAAAATTCTAGGTATTAATAGAAAATTAAAGCTGAAAACACCGATTTTATCTATCTTTAATAGAACCATCTACAGTTCAATTAAAAATAGATGCGCGTCTTCGATAATCATAGCAGTAAGTGTTAACGACGCTTGGAGGTACGTATCCGTCATCGGTCTGCGGTCAAACTACCTTATATACTCTCAATTTGAATCTACCATAGCTGCCCATAGGAAGACTCAATGACCAGATACTGTACCTTAAAGGTCGTGTTATATTTTCAATACTAAGTGAATTATAATTGAGCCTTGAGCTAACTTCAAAGAGCAATGTTAGGAAATATTTTCAGCAAAAATTGAGTATTCTTGGGAGTTTTGTTGTTTTGTGAACATCTAGATAGCAGCTTGTGGTGCTTGGTGAGGTTAGAAATTTGAAAGAATATTTTATTTGAACTATTCAATAACAGAAATTTGGCAAACAATGCATATGCATGTATTTTATGCATATTTATTTATTTATAGTACATCATACCTTAACTAAAACAATAAGCATCTGCTTAAAACAAACTAAATATATGGAAATAAACTAAATTTTGACAATAGTAATCAACAGAAAACAGCAACTTTATAGAAATTTTACTAATTCAGAAAGTCCTTTCTTATTGCTTGTTTTTAAATAATTTTAACTTAACCCATGCTGTATTCTAAAAGAGTCAGCTGATTTCTGACACTGATGTTTAAAAAAAAATAAAATATAATTTCCCCCAAGAATTTTGCCATTTTCCAAGCATTTTTCTTATCATTATCTAAACAATTTTTTCTGCGTGCAGAATTTATATTGTCCAGATTATTGGATAGTCAAAGTAAATATCCATTCCAAATTCTAAACTAACTAAAATGGTACTGACTTGTATTAGTGATGTTAATGAACGGGAAGGCATATAACGTGTGCCCTTTCAAGTTAGCTATCAACTCGATCTATCACCTAAAATATAATAATGTGGTAGGAAAATTGGTTAAACTTGTAACAAAAATAATACTTTGTACAAAAGCTGTCAAGTAACATGCAGTTACGATCTAAATTTATTAGGTATAATATGGAGGGTACCATATAAGTCTAGCTGCTATATGTTATATTGTAAAGATACACTCTTCTTTTTTGATCTGTAATTGAGATGTCAATCGCTACACCACTTTCGTTCAGTGTATAATTACAATACGCCTAAAGGTTACATTATTTTAAAAACATTGGACTGTCATATGCAAAAATTATTACTTTTTCTATTTTACGATTTTCATAATTCCCAAAATATTTATATATAGTTTGTTTTTTTGCATATGTCGAATTATTATTATCAAGTTGCATTAAGAGTATTTAAGTACAAATATTCTAAGAACTAACGATCTAGATTAGATAAAAAAAAACAAAAACAATTAATTGGAATGATTCAATACCACGTGGATTAAAGGGGACTCGACAGATCCTCGATAATATTTATGGTTGTTGGAAAAGAGTATGGTTTGGTAACATGTCGAGGCCGCCGCTAACCGCTAAATCAATAAAATATAATCTGAAAATTCAACACATAAAAACCACAGATACGTAAACATATTGCTTCGAAAAGAATTTCCTACTGAAACTAGACGGAACGGAAATGAAGAGAGGTATGTGTGATCGTAAACAAGTGTAATTGAGCAGGCGATGATAATACTTTTTGATTTTCTAATGTTGCTCTACTTCGCTAATCGATCTTTTACGCGATGTTTATCTGACTTTGGATTATTTCTTCCTACACATATTCAGGTTTTAATTTAATAGTTATTTTTAATATTGGATACTATTTTCTAATGTATGCACAATCAGGTCTTTTACTTTGTTTTAACAGATTGATATTTTGGGTGAAGTTTTTTTTACTTGAAATCACTTTCAAAAAAAAACAAAAAAAGCATCCAGTATATAGAAGCCTCCCCAAACACAAAATCATAAAAATTTCTCGCTCGCGGAAATGCATCATTCTCTTTTTTCCGACTATCGAATAACTGAAATCAGTTACATGAAAACGTGTTCCTACTTTATATTCTAAACACTTTTCTTGGGCAGGTATGAACTTAACCTAGTAGAGTAACCTAGTAACCTGTAATTTAGACATCAATACTGTACCGAAAAAAAACGAAAATAAATAAAAATAAAGCAACAAACCAAAACAATCAAACTTCTTCAATCAACAAATCTTAAAAAACAGTTCATTGTCATGATGTCATGTTAAGGTGAAGTTAATTTTCCAATTACCCAGTCGGACGAGAAATAAGTTGTCCATTTCATGCTACAAAGATGAAAGAAAAATACCAAATAGATTTCGTAAATGTTGACAGAGGAAAAAAGTGGTAGACTCGCAATAATTAAGCAAGACCGAACGTTACAAATCTATTTCAATAATTCCACTTATATGTAGGCTAGACTCCAGACTATAGAGCAAAAATGATACGAAAACGTTATTTTACGAACAGCCTAATTACACTCGTTTACGGTTGTACGTTATTAAGAAACACAGTATTTGAACCTAGGTGACTGGGTCGCTCCTTCGCGCGCCTCTTATTCCTTCACCTCGAAGTACTTGTAGGTTGGGTTCTCGTAGCCGTTGATCTGCATGTTGGCCACGTGCCGTTCCTCGGGCGTCGCCGCCTGGTCCACCTCGACGAAGCCCTGGCTCTGAGGGGAGCGGGCCGAGCGACGCTTGACCACCGCGACTGCCACCACGATGGCCGCCATCAGGGCCATGCCGGCGAACGCCAGAGTAAAGTAGACGCTACTGCCGTCTTTGCGGCCGTACATTTCGCGACGAATGGAGAATGTCTGGAAAGGAAATCAATTTTGAGTACTGCAACATGACCGGTAATTCTGCCTTAATAAGAGCGCAGACCAATAATTCTATAACAGCCAAAATAGTAACAGTCAAAATATTATGTCACTGAGTATTATGTCATCATATGCAGTTATGAAGGATCCCTTAATGAGGAACTAATTATACTAAAGGCTGGCAAAGGTTAGTCTTGGGTCGAGATTTCCGTATGTAAGGAGAGTATAATGCGTTTATAATGTACTGAACAAAGTGAGAACAGTAAACACATTGCCAAACGTATGAAATAAACCCAGAAACTGTGCGAATTGCTAAGAGACGTGGAAGGGGATATAGCAGATATGTCGCAGTCGACTGGTCAACCGGATCAACCCAATCAGTACCTCTGTCAGTACTTAAGAGTTCCAGGGAAAGGTGTACATCATGCGTTCAGCTTCACGATTTAATTATGTCTCGTGATACTTTATTTGTTTATTTATTAACGAGTCGTTGTAATTTTCCCTATAGCTTGAAAATGTTTAAGTGTAAGTTAGAAATACTTGCATTTTTGGTAAATTAAGTGGAATTGAGTTGGTGTTCGACAGTGTCGCGCTATTAGAACTCTAAATTCAAAAGTCGATATCTCGAAATCTATTAGTAATAATTGATTGTAGTTTTTTTCAAAAACTTTCGTAACATTTCTGCTACATAGTAACATTTCTTCTTCATAGACGGTATGTGAAAATCTTTATAAATAAAAAGTTATACGATTGCTGAAAATTGCTATTCACTAAAAGTAAATGGATGGGTTGTTTAAAATTTTTGAATGGAAAAAACAACCTTATCGAATTTTTCTTATAAACATATTGTAAAAGATCCGATCTTCAAAATAAAAAAAGTTTCAATATCTAAAGTCGTTCTTAAGCTATGGCGTGTTATGTGTTAAAATGTTGAGTTTTTAAATTACCGCGATTACTGACGTTTTCTCGTTATTAAAAAAATGGATACCCTAATGATATCCTTATAATTCCATTTCAGATGCTCAGAAACATAACAAGATTTTATCTAGTTATCTTTTATTTTACTTGATAGGGAAAGGCGTACCGGCAACGTCGCAACAGCACACCGTCGCATTTCTCTCACTCCGACTTAATAGGATCCCTATGCGATTTACTTCCACACATGTAAATACCGACCCAAAAGAAACAGTTGCCAGCACGGTATTAAAATATGCTTTATAACTGCAAAGAATTCTAAAGGCGGACTCTGACGACTCGTGTACTTGGCAAGTATTTTTTTATTGGCATACAGGGTCTGGCGAGAATGCGGCGTAGTTCGTATAACAAATAACTTAGAAATTCTGTATAGATGCCCGACAAACCATGTATACCCTGTATACCAATTACAAATGTTTGTCAAGTACACGAGTCGTGAGAATGCGCCATAAGACTCGGGACAATATTATATCGAAATGTAAGGAGGCTCACTGGTGCGCCAGTCTGAGGAAAATGTCTTTCTTGACGATTCAATATACCGATCTGGCCATCAAAACTGCGTGGTCTGGATTTTAACGTGTAAAGCTTGATTTTCATGGATCCGTTATCCGACGATACGAAATATTAATTTTATTGGTTGAATTTAAAACCTTCGATTGGTTAGATAGCTAGCAACGTTTTCAAGAGAGAATTTTAAGAAAGCTGGTTCTTTAATATATCTTTTGATATGCTCTCCTGTACAGAGTGCGGATCGTGTGGCTGCCGGTAGACGTTGCGTTTACTACTGCGCATTATATCTGTTTCCAACATCCGTTCACTACTGCGCATCACAAATCCGTCCTGTATTTCAGGAACTAAGTACGCTGAGACAAACATATGTGTAGCATATTTAGTTTCATAAAAAAGTAGCAAAGTAATGTGAAAATCGCATCTTTACTTATAAACGAGAAATCCCATAAAACATGAAAATGGGATACCTTGTATCGATGTGATGCGCCGTAGTGAACCGTGCTAGACTACCGGTAGCTAGACGGTTCGCACTTTGGTCAGGAGAGATATTAAAGAACCAGCTAAAATTCTTGTTTTCCCGACTCTTGTACTTTTTAAGGTTAGATTAAATTTGTCAGCTTTTTTTTATTAAGGTTAGATTAAATTTGTCAAAAAGGGTCAAAATTTCCGTTACCGTAGAATTTTTCTCCGTTGACGGAGAAAGACTTAACTTAAAAAATTCAAGCTATAGGGAAAATTACAACGACTCGGTTATAAATAAACAAATTAAGTATCACGAGACGTAATTAAATAGTGAAGCTGAACGCATGACGTACACCTTTCCCTAGAACTTAAGTACTGACAAAGGTACTGATTGGGTCGACCGGTCAACTGCGACAAATCTGCTATATCCCCTTCCACGTCTCTTAGCGATGTGCACAGTTTCTCGGTTTTCATACGTTTGGCAACGTGTTTACTGTCCTCTCTTTTTTCAGTACATTATAAACGCATTGTACTCTTCTTACATACGGAAATCTCGACCCAAGACTAACCTTTGTATGAAAAACAAATGTATTAAAAAGAGACAAAAGTTGGATTGATACATTTCTTCTATGCGGTATTGCCGGATTTTGCATCAAAATTTCAAACCGCACAAGTAGGGCTTTATGAAAAATGTTGCATCTAGGGTTGGAACTTTATTTTTTTCAATTAGTTACCCATTTTACTATAGCTGTAATAAATTGTATTTCGCTAGATAAATTAACTTCATTTGAGTAGTATACATGAAAGTTTTTAAAATAGTTTATTTTTTTCTATACACATTTTCCTACAAACGTAAATATCTGTCAACCGGCTATTTATATTTATCTCTTTCGCATGCATTAAAATGATAAAGAATTAAAAATTTGAAACGCCGTAGCTTTTTATATAGAATATATAAATTACTTCTGTCAAATCTCAGTTACTCTTATCATAAATAAAAAATACAAAACGCTACAAATTAAAAGAACATTTTACTATTAATTTTCGTCATTTGCAACTTCTAAAGCTAGCATTACAGTTGACCTAAATTGTTTTATTTGCCCATTTCTATAATTTAAAGACAATATTGTGTCCCGTAGTGGGTGGAAGCATTAATAATAGGTAAAAACTTTACAAGGTTACATTTTGCTTATGAAATCGCTAAAAGCACGCTATCTAGAAATAAACTACTTTTATGTCTACTTCAAATAATTGTTAGTTATTAAACATTTTTGAGTGGCATCTGAGTATGTTTTTGGTTTTATTAGTTTCTATTTTTAACATAAGCATAACAAAAACTTTTAGTTAATGTTAATATCTTTATCAACCTTTTGATCTATGGCAACTGTGGCATGATTTTAGATAATTAAATGTGACAAAAAATATAAATATTTTGTCAGTTGAGATATATTTTTGAGATATAAAGATATCGAGGTTTAAAGTGGTTTATTTTTTATTGTTTTTATTCCAAACTACTTAAAACTGAGATAAGATAGCAATAATAATGAATATATATAATATATTATTGCGACTGTCATATTAAGAAATATAATTATTAGTAATAATCGGCGTCACAGCGTGAAATTTGATCGTCTAGTCAATTCACGTTGCGGGAACTTTCACTGTGGATCTTAGTCGTTTACTGTAATGATACAATATTTCAGTAAATGGGGTATTTTCGAATTGGAGCTATAGGTTATTTTACACTCTCCCCTAGAAATCTAAGTACTGGATTTCAATTTCAATTTTATAAAATTTGTAAATTTATGCCGTCGACTGCAACGAAGGCGAAACGAAGCTGCCCTATCCCCTTCCGCGTCTCATAGCAACGTGTACAGTTAACTAACTTATTATTTCATACATTTGGCAACAATTTTACTGTTCCCTCTTTGTTCAGTACATTATAAATGCATTATACTCTTCTTACATACGGAAATCTCGACCCAAACATCAATCGTCTTGCTTGACTCTAGTATGACGCCGACATAATATACCGATTTGGTCATTTTAGAAGTGTGGTCTGGATTTTAACGTGTAAGACAGTGATGTAGGCAGCTTAATTGAAAATCAAATGTATTAACAAGAGATAAAAGATGGGTTGATACATTTCTTCTATGCGTAATGCCCGATCACATCGGTTGCATCAAAAGTTCCAACCGCACAAGTAAGCGTTTATGGGAAATGTTGCATCTATAGGGTTGGAACCTTATTTTTCACAATTAGTTACTCATTTTACTACAGATATAATAGATTATATTTAGCTTAGATATATTATCTTCATTTCAGTAGTATACATGAAAGTTTTTAAAATAGTTATTTTTTTTTTCTATACAAATTTCCCTACAAACCTAAAAACTAGCAACACTGTGTGCCGCTTTTGATTTTGTCTCTCTGTCTCCCAACCGGTCATTTATATTATTCTCTGTCTTACACGTTAAAATCCACACCACACTTCTCAATCTACAAAATCGGTAGATTTGAATTCATATTTCTCGTGAAATGTGTCATTAAAAGAATGGCATTGACATATATGAGGGACGACTCTATCAATATGATTTTAGAACAACTATATTATAGTTATAGTTACTATAAGCTTACTAATTTCTCTGAAATCACTACTTACTGGTTCTCCGTGACTGATGTCGTGGGACATGATGTGAGCTACCCTAATGACGTCCTGCCTATGGGAAGCTGCCTTCGCTACTTCTTCTACCGCTTCTTGAACTGCCACGTCATCAACTTCTTTGCGACTGGCCGTAGTAGCTGTTACAAGATTGCTTACAGTTTCAGCTGCAGTACTCTCAGCTGTTGATACTACGAATATTGGTGTCTAGAATGAAGAGAACGTTAAATTTATAATCTTTAATATGTTGAAGCTGGACATACGGATGGTTTTTCATCGTCAACTGGCTCATCCTCGATATCCTCGTCGTCAATGTTGCTGATTTTCTTCCCAAGCGCCGCCTCAACTCTCTTCTTTTCTTCCTTCATTTCGTTTCGTTCCTTCTTCCTTTGTTCCTTCCTTTCCTTCTCTTGTAGTCTTTGTCTTTCCCTTTCCGCTTGTTTAGTGGCAATTTCCGCCTTGTACTTGTCCAGAATGGCTTGTTCGGCGTCGGAAGTCATCGCTAACAGGGAGCCAGGAGTCTCGTCTTTTGATCTGAGAGCTAAATAGAATAGCAGTTAATTAATTGTTTACAACTTCTAACAACCTGGACATTTGTTCCAGTAAATTTAAATCGTGCTTAAATTTATCATAAATAATTAAATTTACCAAAAACCGCAGTTTTAAATTTCACCTTTTAATAATTATTACAATATTCGGAAATTTTATAATGCCGCATGTGGTATGCCGATTGATTTTGTTATTTGTGGGTAGGCAAGCCATTTGGAATTATTATTTTTTGCGTCTGGTATCTAAAAAAGTGACTGAAAACTAAAGAGCAATCTGAAATTGAACTAATGTTATAAATTAGTAAAAAATATAAACAAGTAGGATGCAATAAATATATTATTTTTTTATTAAATTTTATAAACCTCAAATCGAATTATGGAGTCTTCTTAATATATTACTATATCCTGTGTGGAACTTTCTACACTAGTATGTCTTGTATTGCTAGTTTTAGCTGAAAAAGGAGCGAACACTCCACTAACTGGACCAGAGCCGTTCTGCTTTCCAAGCGGAAACAAACTTAAATCGGAACTCAGGAACCTGGAAGACTCCATCCGTAGCCTGGAATAGGTATCTTCCAACGATCTAAGACACTCGAAAACGTTTCTCAGAACTTACGACCGAGAAAAATCAAAGATTTTCCTTGGTTTAAGTAAGGACAATCTTCGGTTAGGTTGACAGGACTCTTCTCAGCGAATACCTCAGTAGACTGAAGCTGAGAAACAACGGCGAATGCAGATTCTGTGGGGAAAATGGGGAAACTGCAGAACATCTCATCACTGAGTGCGCTGAGAAGACAACCATTAGTGCCATAAATTTTGGTACGACTGAGGTCGGAGATGGAGAGCTGACCTCTGTTGAGCCGTGTCAGATACAGGCTTTGGTCAAAGCCCTGAGTCTGTATAATGAGTTATAACTGGTTATAACTCAAGAAAGGAGAACATACAATAGATCTATAAGGTCGCGGTGATTAACTTCTTCTTAAAATTCTACATGTAATGTCTTGTTGTCAATTTAATGTCCTTTATTATGATTTCAAGTAGGTAATCCAAATTCGTTCTGCATTTTCGGACAGCGAAAATTAGCATTAAAAGTAAAACAGCAGAACGATTTTGGGTACAGTTCGTATAATGAGGGAGAATACTTGATAGTGACAGTTATCTATTCGGAGATACAGGAGTTTCATTTTTATTTCGATTTTTCCAAATAATTTCTGAAGTAACGTCAATATCTGGATGAAAATTGGTGTCCGGAAGTTTTTTGACATGTGAAATTTAATTTTGATGTCAATATGATCCCTACTAATAGAGGGTGCCACCTACATATTTTTTAACTGGTTTGAGAGTAATAACTTTTCTTCCGTACCTGTATAAAACTACTGACTAAAAAAATATACATTTATGACGTTTTTTACGTGAAAAAGGTCACTTGGTAAAAATCGCTACGAGTAATGGTTTTCGAGATATTTGGAATCGAAATTATCAATACCTGTCAATCATTGACATAAATTAAACATGCATGTTGACTAAATAGTTATTAGACTGAAATCATAAATTTTAAATGTTTTTGTGCCAAAAGTTCAACAGAAACTGTTTTATCATAATTTCTTGCAGAAAAAATTATGAAGAATCGAAAAAAAAATAAAAATTTCCCAAATTTATTATTTCAGATAAATAACTATCTACTCAACGTGTTTATTTTTCGTCAATAATGACATGTATTGACTATTTCCATTCTAAATATCTTAAGAACGGTTGCTCGTAACGATTTTTACAAAGAGATATTTTTTACGTAAAATGTCACAGAGATATATTTTTTCGCTCGGTAGTTTTATATAGGTACGGAAAAAAGTTATTAAGCTTCAAAACGCTTAAAAAACACATGTAGGTGGCGCCCTCTACTAGTAGGAGTCATATTGACATCAAAATCAAATTTCTCATGTCAAAAAACTCCCAGACACCAATTTTCATCCAAATATTGACGTTACATCAGAAATTGTTTAGAAAAAATCGAAATAAAAATGAAACTTCTACACCATATGTATCTCTGAAACTAAGCATTTTAGGACATACATTTATACGAACTTTTTTTACTTATTTTTATCTGCAGAATATGCTGCCGAAGTTTCCGGAATACAGTTCGGACCACCCTGTATATTCTGTAATTTTTTGAATGTCACCTGTCGAAGTACTCCATACGGAAAATTAGGGTATAACAAGTATTCACCAAGCGAGGATTTTGAGAGAGAAGAGGAATATTTATAAAAGTGTTATTGAAGATTACCTTCTTCACTTTTATACTCGTTTTTACCTTGGATATAATCGTCCATGAGCTGACCGATTCTTGCTGCCAGTTCTGGGTATCTCTTCAGCATTTGCATGCTCTGATTTACCGTGCGATCGATATCCGTAAGACGTTCCAGTACTCTGGGCTGTTCTCTGGCTGCCGCTTCAATACTGCTGCCTAACAGGTGACGATAATGTGAAATGGCGTGAGCCCGATCCTTGTGGAGGGAACGTAGCAACTTCTGAAGACATTTCTGCACCCGATGAGTCTAAAATAAGGTATAGAAGTTCTAGTAATGATTTAATTATTAATTTATTAATAAATCGAAATAAATCAAATTTTGCTAATTCATATAATTCAATCCAATCTGATTCTGTATATTTTCAAAATGGACTTGAGGTATTTCATTGATGAATAACAACTATCGAATAATTCCAATGTATAAGTGATTTAAAATTAGGGTCAGATTCCTCATAGACAAACCATCTTCTGATTAAGGTTGTTATAAGTAAATTCATTGTATATTCTATATATTCTTACAAGATTAAAACAATTATTGCTTACGTTTGGAGGATTTTCGTTAAGCGCTTGTGTATAGCATGTCATAGCCTCTTTCTTTCTTTGATTGATGTGTGCCAGGACTCTCTGTTGATGCATGGCAGCTAGTTGGTGTTTCTCAGCGTCACCGTCCTCCTCGAGAGCCTGAACGGTCTGCTGGAATCGCTGCGTCATGCGTTGCTTAAACTCGTCCGCTCCTCTGGGATCGCTTGATCTCATATCTTGATACCTTTCCTCCAAATCCGACCAATCCTTCATGACCCGCGTCACTTTTTCCCTGTGCGTTTCTTCCAAACGCTCTTGGGCTTCCTTATAGCTTTGGTGTTCGTTTCTGGGATCAAAATGCGTGAAGTAAGGGTCGGGAGTAGCTTCCGTTGTCGTTCTTTCTGTTGTGGTCGTTGTTGTAGTTGTCGTGGTGGCGGTGGTTGTAGAAGGAAGCTTCGCGGCGCTCGTGGTGCTTTGTTGTGTCGTATCCCAATCGGTATCATCATAGTCTGAAATAAAATAAAATTGTTTAGCTTGAAAGTCGACATATTTTGATTTGCGTATCTAAATAAATATAACAAAGTCGAGTTAGTTACGCCATTTATAATTCAAGAACGGCTGGACCAATTTTAATGATCATCGCATGAACTATCTTTCGCAATTGTTAGTTCACGTCAAGCACGGTTCTAGCTTATTCGTAATACCTAATTGATATCAATTGCCAATCAGTGATAATATTGACCATGGTTACTATTTGGTGCTATTCTTGCAACGGTCGCGACCCAAAGCTTTTGATAATTTCGGAGTGGTTTTTTTTTGTATGTGTATTCGGCATAGGGGGCAGACCTTTAAAAAACCTATCTACGACTTCGCTGTAAAATTAATAGGGGATCCAATAAACTTACCATCATCGTCTTCATCATCGTCATCGTCTTCATCATCAATGCCGGGGTCGTCAGAGAGCTCAGTATCATCGATAAGATCGTCTAAATCGTCTTTATCATCATCCTCATCGGAATCATCATCGACATCATCTACGACATCAGAGAAAACATCTTGTTCTTTCTTCAGAATGTTCAGGCCCACCGGTTTCTTTGGTTTGATATTATCTGAAAAAGATTGAGAGAACGTTAATTGAATATTAAGCAAAATCTGTCGGAGTCGTTATACTCTGACCATAAAATATTAGGCTAAGAATATGTTTGTAAAACATTGAAGTCATAACACATCATTTAATTGAACATTAGGCAAAATCTGTCGGACTCGTTATACTCTGTTCATAAAATATTAGGTCAAGAACAAATTTGCAAAACATTGATGTCGTAATATATCATTTTAGGCCAAGACTGATATTGCAAAATATCGATATCGTAATACATCAATTAATTGCATATTAAGCAAAATCTGTCGGAGTCGTTATACTCTGACCATAAAATATTAGGCCAAGAACAAATTTGCAAAACATTGATGTCGTAATACAACATTTTAGGCCAAGACTGATATTGGAAAATATCGATATCGTAATACATCAATTAATTGCATATTAAGCAAAATCTGTCGGAGTCGTTATACTTTGACCATAAAATATTAGGCCAAGAATAAGTTTGCAAAACATTAAAGTCGTAATACATCATTTTAGGCCAAGACTGATTTTGTAAAATATCGATGTCGTAACACATAATTTAATTGAACATTAAGCAAAATCTGTCGGAGTCGTTATACTCTGACCATAAAATATTAGGCCAAGAACAAATTTGCAAAACATTGATATCGTAATACATCATTTTAGGCCAAAACTGATATTGCAAAATATCGATGTCGTATACATCAATTAATTGAGTATTAAGCAAAATCTGTCGGAGTCGTTATACTCTGACCAAAAAATATTACGCCAAGAATAAGTTGGCAAAAAATTGAAGCCGTAATACATCATTTTAGGCTAAGACTGATATTGCAAAATATCGATGTCGCAATACATTAATTAATTGAATATTAAGCAAAATCTGTCGGAGTCGTTATACTCTGACCATAAAATATTAGGCCAAGAATAAGTTTGCAAAACATTAAAGTCGTAATACATCATTTTAGGCCAAGACTGATTTTGTAAAATATCGATGTCGTAACACATCATTTAATTGAACATTAAGCAAAATCTGTCGGAGTCGTTATACTCTGACCATAAAATATTAGGCCAAGAACAAATTTGCAAAACATTGATATCGTAATACATCATTTTAGGCCAAAACTGATATTGCAAAATATCGATGTCGCATACATCAATTAATTGAGTATTAAGCAAAATCTGTCGGAGTCGTTATACTCTGACCATAAAATATTACGCCAAGAATAAGTTGGCAAAAAATTGAAGTCGTAATACATCATTTTAGGCCAAGACTGATATTGCAAAATATCGATGTCGCAATACATTAATTAATTGAATATTAAGCAAAATATGTCGGAGTCGTTATACTCTGACCATAAAATATTAATCCAAGAACAAATTTGCCAAACATTGATGTCGTAATACATCATTTGAGGCCAAGACTGATTTTGCTAAATGTCGATGTCGTAATACATCAATAATTAATTGAATATTAAGCAAAATCTGCCGGAGTCATTATACTCTAACCATAAAATATTAGGCCAAGAATAAGTTTGCAAAACATTGAAGTCGTAATACATCATTTTAGGCCAAGACTGATATTGCAAAATATCGATATCGTAATACATCAATTAATTGCATATTAAGCAAAATCTGTCGGAGTCGTTATACTCTGACCATAAAATATTAGGCCAAGAATAAGTTTGCAAAACATTAAAGTCGTAATACATCATTTTAGGCCAAGACTGATTTTGTAAAATATCGATGTCGTAACACATCATTTAATTGAACATTAAGCAAAATCTGTCGGAGTCGTTATACTCTGACCATAAAATATTACGCCAAGAATAAGTTGGCAAAAAATTGAAGTCGTAATACATCATTTTAGGCTAAGACTGATATTGCAAAATATCGATGTCGCAATACATTAATTAATTGAATATTAAGCAAAATCTGTCGGAGTCGTTATACTCTGACCATAAAATATTAGGATCCAAGAACAAATTTGCCAAACATTGATGTCGTAATACATCATTTGAGGCCAAGACTGATTTTGCTAAATGTCGATGTCGTAATACATCAATAATTAATTGAATATTAAGCAAAACCTGCCGGAGTCATTATATTCTAACCATAAAATATTAGGCCAAGAATAAGTTTGCAAAACATTGAAGTCGTAATACATCATTTTAGGCCAAGACTGATATTGCAAAATATCGATATCGTAATACATCAATTAATTGCATATTAAGCAAAATCTGTCGGAGTCGTTATACTCTGACCATAAAATATTAGGCCAAGAGTAAGTTTGCAAAACATTAAAGTCGTAATACATCATTTTAGGCCAAGACTGATTTTGTAAAATATCGATGTCGTAACACATCATTTAATTGAACATTAAGCAAAATCTGTCGGAGTCGTTATACTCTGACCATAAAATATTAGGCCAAGAACAAATTTGCAAAACATTGATGTCGTAATACGGCATTTGAGGCAAGACTGATTTTGCAAAATATTGAAGTAATACATCATTTAATTGAATATTAAGCAATATATGCCGGTGTCATTATACTCTGACCATAAAATATTAGGTCAAGAATAAGTTTGCAAAACATTGATGTCGTAATATATCATTTGAGGCCTTAATTTTACATAGAAATGATCCCAGTAGTATTTCCAATACTAAAAACTGATAAGGGAAATAGCTTGAATCGCGCGGTATCGTAAAAAATCAGTGGACCGATAGCTCCAGCAATAACGATATCGCAATTGCAATAAAATATCGGGTAAACGTTCTAGAACATAATCCCCGTTGAGTTTTTAGGACGATCAAATGCGGCCGAATCCGAGGCGGCCAATAAAGTTGTCCACGTCATTATTTATGACGCAGTCGTGGGGTTCGGTACGGGGATAACGGCAAAAGGTAAAGCCCAGAATAAATTCCGAGCGGGATTTTAATTGGATCAAAAGGTGATCTGGTTAATAAGAGGTTAACATGGAGAGAGGCTGGCGGAAAATTCAATTTTGGTCGTATTATTTCCCGGACTATGGCGGATTTGCTGGGAGAAGCGTTTCTATAAAAATGCGAATATTTTTTTCAGCTGGATGAATGGTTTATAATTACGAGGCTTTAAATGGAATTAATACACTCACCGCAAAGACTCACCGGTACGAAAAACGGACACCTTAAAATTTTCATGTATTTTAAAGTTTTATATATATGTTCTAGGGGACCGATATTCATGATCTTCTGAGCCATTTGTAGCTAAATTATTTAACTTTTTAGTATCTCTTTCTAAATTAAAAATGGAAGTTTCCATCTGTCAATTATACTAGGGAATACAAAATATTGTTATTTTAGTGAAAGTTAGGTTGTAGCCTTGTTTATATATGCTTTAGGTTGCTCAACCGGCTAGACAAAATGTGTTGCCAGGTGGAGGACAAGTCGTGAACCTTTCGGGGCGGAGTAGTAAAAAATATCGATTATTTTCGTTATTTTCCTCAGAGTAATGTAATAATATAGCCCGGATTTCCGCATCTTTAATAGTGATCAGCTGATTAAGAAATTTAAACGAAACTTTTATTTTATTTGTAGATTGTGGATTATTTTTGCCTGTTATTTTAAAAATTCTAAATCGTATTAACAAAGAAATTATTATTTCGATATGTTGGTACATTTTTTATAATTTATGATAATGCTAATTACTGTTAATTAATATTTAAAAAAAGTTACGTACCTACTTTAATTTGATTTAATGCAGGTTTATAAAAGAATCATTTCATTCTTAGATTATTTTATTCTAAATTGAGTGTTTTACGAATTTTCAAAAAATTGTTACTTGCTTCAATATTATTTGACATTACAATAAATATATTGTACTTGTATCCATCTAAATCTTTATTACACCAATTAAATCTTTATTAATGTAAAATATGGCCAGAGTTTTAAAATCAAGTTTGCTTTAACTTTGTATGTGTGAAGAATTATAAAACTAAAAATTTCATTATTTTAAAATATATTTTGCTTTAACTTTGTACGTGTGAAGAATTATAAAACTAAAAATTTCATTATTTTAACTCACACACAAATCCAGTTAAACCATAAAACTTTCTAAAAGCAGGATACATCTAAATGAAAACTGAAATAACTCAAGTACATTTTCATTAAAAAATCAGGAATTTCATTAAAAATGTATCAGGAAAATAATTTAATTAGATAATGCAAGATTTAATTTTTATTCTGTTTCATATGGTCTTCAGTATTCTCAATACACAGGGCGTTGTGTGTTTTCTACGACGTATGTGTTTCTCGAAACTACTGGAGATAGAGAGTCGGTTAAATGGGGAAAGAACTGCAGTTTTGTGAGGTCATAAATATGCGCCTTTCAGATTTTTGAAAAAGTTCATGGATTACTAGATATTTCCAAAAAAAAATTTGGCTATTTTAAAAATTGTCCCTAATTCCATTATAGTCTATTTTAATCAAAAATTTTCAGATAAAAGTTGTAGATAATCACATCCTTAATGAGACATCATAAAAAGCGCCATTTTTAAGCTTTTTACCGATATAAGCTATAATATGTTTTTTTTTCGAAAAATTATTGAGTTATAGCCTAGTCAATTCCTATCATTTTAAAACAATTTCACTTAGTTAGCCATGGAAACAAGTTCAATCGTAGTTGCCCTCAGAAATGCAAAACTGTCACATCTAAATTTTGTAAATTAAAATAAACAAAAATTGTAAATATGAATTTTTTAAATTAAGAAAAGCGTGTAGGATTATTGGTTCAACTTTTCTTGGCCATACATTTTCCAGGATACGTTGACCGGTGAACGTTATTTACGTTTTTTTATAGAACGGGTTTCAAAATCATCAATAGGGTGGTTCCAACATGACTTTCATTATGACACCTCCCCCTCATAATGAAAGAAATGTTAAAAATTATTTATATCACAATTATGCAAACTCATGGATCGGAAGAGGTGGACCAATTGCATGGGCCCCCTCGAAGAGGCGGTACGGGAGAACATTTTCTAAAATAACTTAAGTGTATGGGGCGTGATATTATGAAGTTTTAGTTTGCGTAATGTAAATCGTAAAGAACCGTTTAATAATATATTCTGTGTTTTTATGTTATAAATCATAACAGAGTAAGAATATCATACCAACTAAGTGAAATTAGCCAAGAAAGAAAAGAATTGGCTATAACTATAACTCTATATCTAACTGTAATTTTTCGAAAAAAACATATATACCTATATCGCTGAAAAACTTAAAAATGGCGATCATTTTCCAATGATGCCCAACTACAACCCAATTTAAATCGTGGGTTATTTTCTTGTCTTCTATTATAAACTTGTAACTTTCGAGAGTAAGTTCTTAAGTAATAGTAGCATAATTTAATCTAAATTTCAAAAACGTACAAATTATAATAATATATAACAGTTCGGTCGGGTATTTCGCCTGAAATCTATAAACAAAAAAAACTTACCCCAGAGACTAACCAACGCAATCAAAATACGCCTACGGCGGATTTTGGTTTGGCAAAAAAGTTAAAGAATTTGGGAATTTACTGAGTGGTTAACTTTAACCGTGAATAACTTTTAAAGGAGTAGGTTTATCGAAAAATTATAAGAGACCGTTTTTGTAGAGCGTTTAATTCTGTACTGTATGTGATTGTCATGGCTGCAAAAGAACAAGATCGAGAGAAAAAAAAATATTTGCAAAAAGTGGCAAATTCCCATGTAATTTAAATGGGAAACGAATCGTCTTTGGCGCAAGGTTTATTGTGAATATTAAGGGTTTACAATGGTCTGTTATTTTTTTTAGACAATAAACTAAAAATTTAGAGAGCCTCGTCAGAGAAATGATCAACTTGGTAAATAACGGACACCCTACTAGTGATACACAAACGATATTTACCTTTAAAATGTTTGGGACAGCACACGAACTCTACACCGCTAAAGAGTGAGATGCCACACGGCAACAGCATGGCAAAAGAACGCAGTTGAAGTCCTTTATCTTGACAAGCTAAGCCTGCAGTGGAGTTCCAACGACCAAACGTCCAGCAGTTGCTCTGGTTGTGGATGTGGTCGAACATGCAATTTTCGGGCACTAGAAGAGCGTCTGACTGGAACGGACCCTCTGAAAACAAAATAAAATGAAAATATAACGGTCGTCTCTATTTTATGCTCTGAAATAAGATATTATTTGTTCCGTCATCTGTCTCGATTTGTGCGTCAGCGGCTTTTCAAACCAACTAAAATGCTTAAAGTTTTAGGGAGTACCCTCGAGGGTACTTATTTTGTCCCGTCGTCCGAAGCAAGATACAAAAATAAAGAAACGGTATTTAAAGTGTATAGGCTTAGTGCATTCTCCGCCGGTGCTGCCACCGCCCGAGAATATCGTAAATAACGAACACATACAAATACACGGGTTTAAATGGCGAGTAAACGTTTGTGGAAATTCTAAATAAAAAAATAAAAAGGTAAATATTTTGATATCTTCAGAAGGGCTAACTTGCATTATTATTTATTATTCCAGTTAAAAAATTTTTTAGATGAGTTCAGCTACGGTAGCGAGCCCAAGTGGTAACCAACTCAAGGCGGAACTCAAGAACTTGGAAGATTCCATCCGCAACCTGGAATGGAAATCTTGCAATGGTCTAAGACACTCGAAGAAGTTTCTGAGGGCTTATGATCAAGAAAAATCACAGATCTTCCTGGGTCTGAGTAAGAACAATCTTCGGATTGTCACGGGGTTTTTAACAGGACACTGTCTCCTCAATGAACACCTCAGTAGATTGAAACTAAGAAGAAACGGCGAATGCAGATTCTGTGGGGAAGATGGGGAAACACCAGTACACCTCATCACTGAGTGCGCCGAGACGACAACCATTCGTGCCATGAATTTTGGTACGACTGATATTGGAGATGGAGAACTACCCTCTATAAAACCGTCCCAGATACTGGCTTTTGTCAAAGCCCTGGGACTGTATGATGAGTTATGACTCAAGAAAGAGGGACACAATGGATCTGTAAGGTCGCAGTGATTAACCCCCCTCCCACTCATTCTAAAAAAAATTCTACGGTAGCGAGCATAGTTTTATCACCGGTTTTGCTAGTGGGGCATAATTGGAGCTATTTCGGCTATAATGACATTTTTTAAAGGTACATAATTATAATTTTAGAAGACGTTCATAAAACATTTAATCACTAGTTGATTAAAAAAGTATACTATTAATATTGCAAATTATATTGCATCCTCTCATAGTATATATATTATGTCTATTTAATTTTTTAATTATGTAACGAGCACTTTGTTTACTCACTTGTTTCGTCGAACTGTTTGAATCCGTTTTTGATTTTGATCAATTTGGTGTGAGAAACGATCAAGCATATACAATGTTGTTTCAGGAGAGTTGAATATCCGGGAAGTTAAGTTATTGAATGTTATTGTACCCAACAACGCCTCAATTACGCTCTCCTTTACGCGTTACCATTTTTTTGGGCAATTTTATTAACATTTGAAATTGTCACAATACAACAAGACGCCTAGTTCAAATTCTTTTTCACTTATTTTTTACTACACGAAACAGCGTTACATCACACAAACCTCGTACCTGATTGTTTTATTGTTTCAATAACTGCACTAGCAAAAAACTAAAATACTTAAATATTACGACAAAACTCCCATTTTAATATTATTTTAACGCGATCGACATGACGGCGCCGTGAACTATTTGTTGATAATTTCTGATTTCTGCCGTAGAGTGCGTTGCGGTCGGAATTTGTTGAAATCAACTGAAATGCACCAAGCCTATAAATGTAACTACTATTAGAGAACAGTTTAGTTTTATAATTATAAAAAAGTTCTGGCACAACTCACAACCTAAACTCACAACTTATATTGATTTATTGTGAAAATAATGAATATTTATTATAATATTAGTTGTGTAAAGTTTATTAAAATTCTGTAAACTTTGTAAATCGTAGTAATTGGGAATTTGAGTGGTTATTAAAACAAACTATTATCCACAGAAACAGAGATCTGTATTTCGTAGTTTAATTATAAACTAAAATGTTGAGCAGAGTAAACAAAAATAGAAGAGTTAAGCATCTGCAGAATTATAGGTATTGTCTGACATAGAAATTGCAACACCCAGAATATGCTTAACTAAAATTAGCTTATACTTATGGTTTCTCCCTTTAGATTTAATTAAAAAAAGACAACAGGGTTTATTTTATTATTTTTTTGAGGATTTGTTTCGAGATATTCAGTCATAATTGCTTTTGGGGATTGAAATAATCGTTTAGCAATGGCAATCAGTCAAGTAATTTTTGTACAGACTTAAATCAATTTAACGGTATTTATGACTTAATGTTTTCCTTAAATCATGATTATCTGCAAGTTAAGTCAATAAATTGACTTAAATCAATATAATCACCCCCATGTCAAGACAACCAGAATTCAATTTAAGTACCTATTTTTAAAAAAATAGGTACTTAAATTTAATGTTAATATTAATTTTGTTGTATTACCGATTTTCTTATTAACTATATTACAAATTTATTGGTCGCGTTCATCAGGACGTAGCGCTATTGCAGCGATCGCTAATTTTCTGCTGAACGCGCAGATCAGTTGTGAGCGAACGATCAGTTGTGAGCGCTCTGGGATCAATCGCCATTTTTTTCCATCAGATTTAAAATTTAAAATACGCTACGCTACCGCGATGCAAGATGGATTAAACGTCACATACGCCAAATGTCACAAAGAGTTTTGGAAAACGAAAACAAACCATTTTGTTTATTGTTCTCGGTTGACTAATCCCGTCGATTTGTGCCAAAAATGGGTGATCTACTGGCTGAAGAAGATCAACCGCACCTCCTATTATTAAACCTACATCTAGAGTGTCTTCTTGAGCAATTAGCACTGCTGCTTGGATAGGATCATTGATGAAATTGATAGCAAATTAATGTACAAAAGTACATGAAGAGTACAAGTGCAAAAATCTAAATATAAAATCTATAGATTTGTATTTTTGAATCAAAATACAAACACATAAAGTTAGATTAAGTTGTTATGATGCTTCTTAGGCAAGGAAAGAGATTTCCTTGTCTAAGGGATGCTAAAAAGCGCGTTCAGCAGGACAACCAATCGATGGCACATCGCCCACTGATGAACGCGACCATTGTAGATACTAGATACATACAAGAATAAAACCACTTAAAATAAAACGATTTATTTTCAGAATAACTACAAACAATAAACCATAAAAATTATACGCATCAAAAATATAAAAATAACTTATACTTTGTACAGGGTGTCTCATTTTTGTGTGTTTTACTGGTTGCAGGATGTTTGTAGTTCACAGTTCACACAGCTTTTTAAGTTTTCAATGCCAGTTTTTCACTTTTCACAATTATCACGGGTTTGAGTAAATAAAATTTAAATTAAACTCACAACATAGCAATAATTACTTTGAAAATGGACGCTTTAAACACTTTTCGGTATTTTTTCAATGAGGATGGTTTAAATTTTGAAATATTTTATCATTTTTGAAGATTCTGACTTTGACAAGAGAAAATTATTTCTGTTCTTGTTTGCAGTTGTTTTGGGTTCTTAGCATAGCAGCGCCCTACTACGTATGCGCTCCAAAACAATTATAATTTTGGTGGCAAGCCGAGCATTCCAATCTAAACTTGTCTCCTTTATCTATGGAAATGACTTAAATTTTAAGCCTTAAGTAGGCTTTCGAAATATGACTTAAGTGATTCATGTGATTGTGATGATTAAGTGATTCATGATTCATGTGATTGTGATGACTTAAGTGATTCAAGTGATCAAATGACTTAAGTGATTAAAATAATTTAAATCAGAAAAGACTTAAGCTTGATTTTCATGCGTCCGTTATCCGTTTGATTTTGGTTAGGCGGTTTGGTTTTCGGTGATTGGTCATAGCGTTTTTGCGCCACTTTTCATCCGTAAATTTTTTATTCCAGCCCGTCAACTAAGAAAAATCGTACGATAACGGACGTTTTGACACTTTATGACTAATTTAATCTAACCTTAGTAAAAATATAATAGTACAAGAGCTAGCAACGTCGGGAAAAAGAGGATTTTTAAGCTTGTTCTTATATATATTTTTTGGTATGCTCTTCTGACCAAAGTGCGGGCCGTCTGGCTGCCGATAGACTACTGCCGTTCACTACTGCGGTTCACTACTGCGCATCACATTTGTACAGGGTATACCACCATCTTCCTGTTATGGGATTCCCTTTTATGGGATTTCTCGATTATGAGTAGAGATACAATGATGCGATTTTCACATTACTTTTCTAATTTTTTATGAAACTAAATATGCTACACATAGATTTAACCTAGCCTCCTTAGTTCCTGAAATACAGGGCGAATTTGTGATGCGCAGTAGTGAACAGATGTTGAATAGAGATATAATGCGCTGTAGTGACCGCAACATGTATCGGCAGCCAGACTGTTCCAGGAGAGCATCACAAAAGATATATTCAAGAATCAGCTTTCTTAAAATTCTCTCTCGAAAACGTTGCTAGCTCTTATAGACTATAAGTAAAACAGCGAAATTTTTATGGAAATGAAAAGCAAATGGTATATCCGATGAACGGAGACATGAAAATGCAATCAATTTAAAAACTACGTAATTTTCTAACCAATCGAAGTCTTTAAATTCAACCAAATAAAATTAATATCGTATCATCGTATCGTCGGATAACGGATGCATGAAAATCAAGCTTTAAGCTTTCTGTGAGCTTGCAGCTCTGGGTACTACACTGTACGAGTGCAAATTTATCAATAATTGATAATTGCTTTAAAAAATACAAACAGTTATTAATTATTGTTGTAACTACTATGGAATAAAAACAGAGCACACTAAAGTTATCTTAAAATAGCCAGATGCCTATTGCGTGTAGTAAAGTAGGGTAAAATTCAACTAACAATAGAATTTCTCTTATTTATGGTCGGACAATTCTAGATTCACAGTTAATTACGTATTGTACCCAAAGCTATGCTTGAAAGCGAGGATTATACATACTGGCTCCAAACTACGTCGACCTTTGGAATTGGACAGCAGAGATAATCCTTTCGGAAAAAACGCAAACTGTACAGGAAATGGCCGCCCTGGGCGGGTGGGCGCACCGCCACGTAAATTGAGCAATTTCATCAGCGACTCCGATGAAAATGCGCTTTATTAATTTCCGGCTTTTTCGCAGTCCCGCTGCGTAGACGACGAGGTAAATTATTGCAGGGATCCGAATTGATTAATTACTTTTGCAGACGAAAAAGTCCAAATTCTTTTCCCGTTTTAAATATCCAATTTCTTCGATTTTTCTCTCGAAAGTAGCAAAGTTTATTTCCCAGTCTAAATTTTATAAAAAAATATATATAAATTATGTCAATTCCTGACTAAATTATTGGAAACGGTCAATCTAAATCTGCAAATGCAGTTTAAACATGTTCTTATAAGAACCCCGGTTGCTAAAAAGTATTGTCTTTAAATATTGCACTCTAATATCATTTTTGTGGTTGTGGTACGTTTAATCAGAAGTCTCAACTGACTGTTTTTCATTGTTAACCCAGATCAACAATAAAAAACAAACAACCAATCACGGCACGTCTCGATCAATTTCAGGAAATGTGGGAACTAATTTTTATAACACGGGCTTATATTTATCGTACTATTTTGTAAAATAGCACGAAAAGGTCAAACGTTGTCTTCAGAAAAATAAGTAAACATGGAAAAACTGATATGAAAACAGTTATTCCTCGAAGGTTACACAAGAATATTTAGTTTTAATCATTGTCTAGTATTATTAATTACAATATAGTAAAAAAAATATAAAACAGTGACTAACTGGTCTACCATTTATCGGCTTATAATCCACGGTATTGCGTCTCATGAACAAAATATACACAAAATTATTTAAAAAATCGTCTAATTATTTATTATTTCTGGTTATGGTAAAGTATACTGTAGTCTATAGCAAAGTTTAGTTTACGAATTTGGTTTTGTATTCCTAATTTTAATTGTCTAAATCTCTGCATAATAAATGGATTTATGTGAAACCATGCTGGGTGCTAATAAAAGTATTGTTTCCATATTTCTCTTAAGAACAATAAAAGAACATTGCTTTTACATAATGTCCGTGGACCATACTTTTGTTGACATCGGGTTTATTAATAATTTTCTCCAGCGGATATAATGACAATGTTACCAGTATTACTCATCGATCAATTCTACTATTATATTAATCAATTAAGGCCGTAAACAAAAATATCATATACAATTTTATATACTAATACATATTAATTAATACAAAAAAATTAAATCATAAAAATATTGTAATTATATTCCTGCAGATGTAATTAACAAAATATCATCGTAACAACAGCTATTTTAGAAACGTCTAGTTTTACTTATTTCACTGAGATTAATGAAAAAAAAATCCTTTGCCTCGGATACAGATACCGCCACGTTTTGGAAATAGCTCAAAACAAAACAAAATTGAAAGAGGCAATAAAAAAAACAAAAAAGATCCCCCCTCGCCCTCCTTACGAGTAGTTTTCAGGCGCTTTAAGGTTACATTTTCCAGTCTTATCCTTTTCAAAAATCTAGTAACTTGGAGACTGAACCCTCCATATTGCTCTCTATCAATGACCTGTCATTGCCTATTATCGTTGATTGAAAGAATTGGGAAGATACGCAACCTAATGGGCAAATTCGTGACAAGGTTGATTTATTCCCCTTACGTCTCAAGCGCTGTACGGCGAAGACACCAATCGTTCTGCGGCCAACGATACCAAAGTATTTACATTTTTATTTTTAGAATTTTCACAAATTATACTTCCTAACACTTTTCGGATAATTATATAATACATTTTTATTAATAGATTTTGATTTGCAAGAGTGCCTGGTGGCTATCCTATGAGAGCCTCGTAGATATTTTGAAAAATATCTTCATAAGATTCATAAAGATTTGTATATTAGAAAGAAAACCTTTTTCTAAGCCGCCAACGATACAGTACCTTTTTGAATATATTCCTATAACTTCATATTAAACTTTATGCTCTCCAACTCTCAAACATATCGTCAAAGACTTAATTCGGAAAATTCCAATAATCCCCGGCTCAGAGTGGCACTCTCTACCGGAAGGAAAACTCCTTTTCCCCCTTTGATGGCGACGGAAACTTCTGAAAACTCATATTGCTCTCCATTTTAAAGCAGGCCTTGTTTGCCGATAGCGTTCGATATGCACATATACGGCAAAGATCGAATATGAAAAATGTATTGTATGAAGTTCGGTGGAGGATTAAAGGTAAAGAAAAAGGGTTCTGAAGGGAGAAAAGACGCTGGAGAAAATCTTTCTTTTGTTCGGAAATGTAGCCATTAATTCAGGGATTGTGGAGGATTTTAGGATATCCTTTCATTTAGTTGAAGATATAAGATTTACTCTATTTAAAACGAACTAATACGAAAGTACGTACAGTTTAAAACTTTTCAGAATTATTGTGGTCCTCTTTTGATATTTAGGTTACATTTTCCTGTCCTATCCTTTTCAAAAATCTAGTAACTTGAAGACTGAAAACTCCCTATTGCTCTCTATCAATATCAATGGACTATCATTGCCTATTATCGTTGATTGAAAAAATTGGGAAGATACGCAACCTAATGGGCAAATTCGTGACAAGGTCTATTTCATTTCTCCTTACGTCTCAAGTGCTGTACGGTAGTGACACCAATCGTTCTGCGGTCAAAGCATAAACCACTTATTTTCCCTAATTCGGCTAGCCAATGACTAAAGAATATAAGGACATGTAACGCCCATATACGGACTGCAGCAGAATTTGTGACCTTAGAGGCCTCATTTGGTCACCAGCGACAATTTTAGCGATTTTTAATAGTTTGTTTTAATAGTTTAAAAGTAAACTTTGTATAAACTTTATTACAATGGTGATTAGTTGTTCAGCTTTCAAGTGTAAAAGTAGCAGCGATAAGAAAGAGCCAGGAGTTACGTTTCATAGGTAAATAAACAGTCCACTCCAACTTTTTAGCGTTTTCTTATTGAATTCTGATAATTATTCTTCAATTTCAATTAACATCTACATATAGATGTTAATTGTATGAAAAACATCTATATGTACTTGATATGTGCTATAAGTCGATACTAGTTTTGTACGTTTTGTTAACACTTTAATAAGTTTTTTTCGTAATTAATTAGTATGATACACCATAGGCGTAGTCAAAACAATTACTTTTTACTTCGCTGCAAAAAGCGTGGCAGTTTTTCTTTGTGTGCCAAAATAAGAAAAAATGGACAAAATGCATCTATAGAAAGTCTGCTCCTCGGCTGTAGTTCCAACAATGTGAAGACACGATATGATATGAATTTTATCTATAAGAGTAAAATCATATTTTTTCGTTATCTTAAATTTCTACGGAAAAAAAAATATTGATATATTTAGAACGCGGCTTAATCCATGACTAGTGGCTCGTTAGCGGCTTTTTAAACACAGATCCGCTTCGCAACATTTATGTATGCAATGCGTGGTTTATTTTTAGGAAACTCTCTGATCTGACGTTATAGGATAAACAAATCCGATCGACATCGGTCGGGCGCTTAAATTCATTACACGCCGACCTTGATTCGTTATGCGTTAGCAGCTACATTTAGCTCGTTGTTATGATGTCGAATTGTCCAATTTATTCCCACTCGGTTTTATCTCTCAGCCGACAGCGGATCCAGTAGAGAATCGTATTTCGATTCGTCATGTTTGTTCTCTACGTCGCCGTTGTTGTTATTTTGTTCCTAGCTTACGTAAAATGGCGTCAATCGTACTGGAAAAGAAAAAATCTGTTCGAACTGGACCATGACTTCCTCCTGGGTAACATGAGAAAAATATTAACCGGAAAATTAGCATATTCTGAAGAATTCAATAACATATACAACATTATCAAATCGAAAAAACAAATTCACGGAGGTATCTATGCTATGTGGGACCCCTTATACATACCCATCGATCCTGCATTGATTAAAACTATCCTTGTAAAAGATTTTTCGTTTTTAAAGGGTCACGGAGTGTACCATCATCCTAAAGACATTCTTTCAATGAACTTATTCGGTGTGGATGGAGATATGTGGAGACGATTGAGAGTCAAACTGTCTCCCACCTTTACGTCAGGTAAAATGAAAATGATGTTTGAAACCCTAATGGAAAAAACGACAGGATTTGAAACTGTAGTAGGGAAGTACGCAGATACAGAAGAATCTGCGCCAATAAAAGAAATATCTGGAAGGTTTACTACTGATATCATAGGGAGCTGTGCGTTTGGAATAGAATGCAATTCTTTAGAGAATCCCGATAATGAATTCCGAAGTCAAGGGAAGAAAGCATTACAACCTGGAATGCTAAGATTGACCCTTATGTCAATTATTCCTTGGTGGTTATTAGGGAATTTAGGCTTTAAAGGTAACGGCATGGAGGCAGAAATATTTTACTCCAACATCGTTAAGGAAACTATCCGTTATCGTGAAACAAGTAACGTTCATCGAAACGATTTCATGCAGTTGCTATTACAACTAAAGAACGAATCTAACATAATCCTTGATGATGATAAAGAAAACTACACTCTAACTGTTGATGAAATAATCGCACAATGTTTTGTGTTCTTCGTCGCGGGATTTGAGACGTCTTCCACCACTATGTCGTTTGCTTTGCTCGAACTGTCGCAGAACCAAGACGTTCAAGACCGATTGAGAAAGGAGAATGAGGAAGTTTTGGAACAGCACGGTGGAAATGTTACTTACAATGCTGTGATGTCTATGGAGTATCTTGATAAAGTTGTAAATGGTAAGTAAATCTGATTTTGTTAAAATTCGATTTAGTTTGTAATTTTCTGTTTGAAAAATCTATAATATTGATAAAGTAGTATTTTTGGAACGTGCCTTAATCGATCATTAACAGTTCGTTAACCACTTGGTAAATACAGGTACGCTTCCCAACATTTGTGTATGCAACGCGCGCGGATTATTTTTAGGAAACTCTCTGGTGTGATGTAATCGGATAAACAAACCCATTCAACATCGGTCGCGCGCTTAAATTCATCACACGCTGACCTTGCTTTATTATGCGTTAGCAGCTACATTTAGCTCGCTGTTATGATGTCGAATTATCCAATTTATTCCCACTCGGTTTTATATCTCAGCCGAAAGCGGACGCTTCGATTTGTCCAGTAAAGAATCGTATTTCGATTCGTCATGTTCGTTCTCTACGTCGCCGTTGTTATTATTTTGTTCCTATCTTACGTAAAATGGCGCCAATCGTACTGGAGAAGTAAAAATCTGTTTGAACTGGAACACGAGTTCCTCCTGGGTAACATGAGAAAAATATTAACCGGAAAAATACCCTATTCCGAAGAATTCAACAACTTATACAACATTATCAAGTCGAAAAAACAAATTCACGGAGGTATTTATGCCATATGGGACCCCATATACATGCCCATCGATCCTGTATTGATTAAAACTATCCTTGTAAAAGATTTTTCGTTTTTAAAGGGTCACGGAGTGTACCATCATCCTAAAGACATTCTTTCAATGAACTTATTCGGTGTGGATGGAGATGTGTGGAGACGATTGAGAGTCAAACTGTCTCCGACCTTCACGTCAGGTAAAATGAAAATGATGTTTGAAACCCTAATGAAAAAAACGACAGGATTTGAAACTGTAGTAGGGAAGTACGCAGATACAGAAGAATCTGCGCCAATAAAAGAAATATCTGGAAGGTTTACTACTGATATCATAGGAAGCTGTGCGTTTGGAATAGAATGCAATTCTTTAGATAATCCCGATAACGAATTCCGAAGTCCAGGGAAGAAAGCATTACAACCTGGGTTGCTAAGATTTTACTTTATGTCAATTATTCCTTGGTGGTTATTAGGGAATTTAGGCTTTAAAGGTAACGGCATGGAGGCAGAAATATTTTACTCCAACATCGTTAAGAAAACTATCCGTTATCGTGAAACAAGTAACGTTCATCGAAATGACTTCATGCAGTTGCTATTACAACTAAAGAACGAATCTAATACAATCCTTGATGATGATAAAGAAAACTACACTCAACTGTTGATGAAATAATCGCACAATGTTTTGTGTTCTTCGTCGCGGGATTTGAGACGTCTTCCACCACTATGTCGTTTGCTTTGCTCGAACTCTCGCAGAATGAAGACGTTCAAGACCGATTGAGAAAGGAGATTGAGGAAGTTTTGGAACAGCACGGTGGAAATGTTACCTACAATACTGTGATATCTATGGAGTATATTGATAAAGTTGTAAATGGTAAGTAAATCTGATTTTGATAAAATTCGATTTATTTTGTAAATTTCTGTTTTTTAAAAAATTTATAGTATTAATAAATTAGTATTTTTGGAACGTGCCTTAATCGATCATTAACAGCTCGTTAACCACTTGGTAAACACAGGTACGCTTCTCAACATCTGTGTATACAACGCGCGCGTATTATTTTTAGGAACTTCTCTGATGTGGCGTAATCGGATAAACAACCCCATTCAACATCGGTCGGGCGCTTAAATTCATTGCACGCTGTCCTTGCTTCATTATGCGTTGGCAGCTACATTTAGCTCGTTGTTATGATGCCGAATTATCCAATTTATTCCCACCTGATTTAACTAAACAGCGAATCCAGTAAAGAATCGTATTTCGATTCGTCATGTTCATTCCCTAAGTCGCCGTTGTTATTATTTTGTTCCTAGCTTACGTAAAATGGCGCCAATCGTACTGGAGAAGAAAAAATGTGTTCGAACTGGACCACGACTTCCTCCTGGGTAACGTGAGAAAAATATTAACCGGAAAATTAGCCTATTCCGAAGAATTCAATAACATATTATACAACATCATCAAGTTAAAAAAACAAATTCACGGAGGTAGCTATGCCCATATACGTATTACTTTTTACAAATATACTCAGCCTAATCTCCAAAAAGTGAAGCCCAAACAGTGAAAGAACAATATGGAATTCTGCATAAGTCTATTTCACCCGGATATTCATTTAACTGAGCATGCCTCACCTGAAGAAGTTTTCATTGGTCGATGTTTTTAAAGGGAAGTGGTTGACTGACATTTCCCCTAACCTTCAATTTTATTTATATTTTTATTATTTATAACACATTATCATGGAGTCGGAAAAATATAAAAAAATAGTTGGAAACAATAAACTAAACAAAATCACTCTTTTACGCGCACAAATAAAAAGTAATTCAAACAGAACTAAAACAACAATCAATCGGAGTTTGGCGCAATCGCAGTTCAATCCATATCCGGGTGAAATAGACTTATGCAGTTTTAATATGGAGCTGGGTTATGTTGTCTTTTTCTTACGGCACAGAAATTGCACACGGGGTTAAATAGGGAACCCTGAGTATATTTGTAAAAAGTAATACGTATATGGCTATGCCATATACGTATGTATATGTATATGGACATGCCCATCGATCCTGCATTGATTAAAACTATCCTTGTAAAAGATTTGTTGTTTTTAAAGGGCCGTGGAGTGTACCATCATCCTAAAGACAGTTTTTCAATGAACTTATTCGGCGTGGATGGAGATATGTGGAGACAGTTGAGAGTCAAATTGTTTCCGACCTTTACATCAGGTAAAATAAAAATGATGTTTAAAACCGTAATGGAAAAAATTACAGGGTTTAGAACTGTAGTACGGAAGTACGCAGATACAGAAAAAAACTGTACCTATAAAAGATACGTCTGGAAAGTTTACAACATAAATTGTTTGCTTTTTTTTAAACAAAAACATGCATTGAGTGGGAATAATTTTTTTACAGATAAAAGTTACTAATAAGTGCTACATATTTTATAGTGCAAAAAGTGTCATCATATTCACCAACTAAATGCATACAGGTTATCAGTGTAGTATTTTTCAAAAAAATACATTTTTCTCTTGTTAGCACAGTTATGTAGGCCGTTTAATGTCGATTAAAAGTTGTTTCTTGATATTTTGCCAATTTAGGTCTCCTTGATGAAATAAGCGCAATTTTATTAACTGGCTAAGATGTTAAATAAGAATCCTCATTAAAAAATATTAAAAAAATGTTCCTATAAACACGGAAGTGGAAATGCATAGATGATTAAAACATAGAATGATGTTGTTTTAATCATCTGCTGATGATGCTAATATAGTTAGAGAAACGCGCGTCCAGTGCAAAAGTAAAGTGTTTTTGGTGCATTGTGGTGAATTAGTGTTTTATTTTGCTGTTGTAACACCAAAGGTTCCAACCCTCAATATTGTAATACTACTTATGCTGTCATATTATCAAGAAATTATGTTTTTTAACTAAAAATTAAAAAAAAAATCCAACCAATTTTTCAAAAATTAAAAAAAATGCGCTTAAAAATATTTGTACTTATTGAAGACTCACACTGTACTGTTGAATAAACAAATATCTTGAAAATGTATTATTTACCCAACTGTTTCTAAACCCGACAAGATTTGTTTGTATTTTGATACAACTATAGAATATTTGGCGCGACTACAAAACTAGAGGAATATTTAAAAAAAGTCTGTTGATCAACATACATCAAACATGAAGTTCTTGACACTGTTCCCCCCATAGACTTAAAATAAAATATAGACTGAGCATCTCATTCATAAATAGCTGGAACATGCGGTCAGACAGTGTCTTGTTATTGTTGTGTCATTGTTTTAGGTTATAACGAGTGCGACACGAGCGATAGATAGGTTGTCTCTGTCGTAACGGTCGTTCCCTGACGACTCTGCCGAGAAACACAACACTGTCTTTCGTTTCTCAAGTACACCTGAACTCTCCGTATCATAGCCGGGTAATTTTTTTATTTTAATGAAGCTATAATTAAATTAAAAATATATCGTATTTAAACTTTTTATATTTTATTAAGATTTAGGACAGGTTTTTAAATAAAAGTTTAGAAAAAACGTCTTAGAGTCCAAAAAGGATAAAAATAATAAAATACACGTTATAGAAGAAATTTTATAATCGAAATTACGTAATTTTTGAAATTAATAATAAATTATTAATTTTAGTCAAACATTTACAACCCCTAATATTAATCAAAACAGGATCTATTTCACAGATATAATAGAATCGGCGACAGGGAGAGAAAAAAAAATATGATTGTTGTAATTTTTTTTCTGGTTAAGTGATGTCTTATGTAAATTAGAGAAAACATAAATCTGTTCCATTAAAGCAAGGAAGGTGATAGGAAGTGGATAAAATGAAAACTACATTTATTTAACTCGGTACTGTCTTTATTATACCGGGTGCGTCCCAAAAGTGGTTCATCCCCCATAATTTTTTTATATTTTCAAATAAAAAAACAAGATTTAGTATGTTAGTACATGACATAAATTAGGATTGATTGACGCATCCAACTGTTTTTGGTCACTTCCTGTTTCACCGGAAATGACTATAACATTTAATTTTTAAACGGCACCCTTGGTATATTTCTACTTTATTCGATAGAAAATGACACTCTGAATAGAATGACACATCATATGTCAACTTTTGACATTCTCGCATATGGTTTAATTGTAATTGTAACACGCGGTTCATAACGACAATTTGACTCGAAATACCAAGTGTGTGGTATCAATATATTCATAAAAAAATGCTTTTTCCAAATATGCTAATGAGTCCCTTGTTCCCTTGTTCCATTTGAAAAAATTGACATATGTATGATTAAAAATACGATTTGTACATCTTTTAACCGGCCTAGACAAGACACGAAACCCATTAGACGATCAAAACTATTTTTCCAAAGCTCCTTGATTAAAACTTTGTGTTTTTAACAACACCATGGCACCCTGGATTGAAATTTAAAATAGGATTTGTTTTTAAGCGACAATGTCAAAAGTTGACATATGATATGTCATACTATTCAGAGTATCATTTTTTATCGAATAAAGTAACAATATACGAGGGTGCCTTTAAAAATCAAAAGATGTAATCATTTCGGTGAAACAGGAAGAGACCAAAAACAATTGAATACGTCAATAAATCCTAATTTATGTCATATACCTACTAACATACAAATCTGTTATTTTTTATCTGAAAAAAATAAAAAGTTATAGGGGTGAGCCACTTTGAGACGACCCGGTATATTAAAAATATTGTTTCATAATGTAATATCATTTTAAAATTCTTGTATGTTATTTTAGATACTGAAGATAATTTTAGAATAAACCGGAATATATTTTTTTTAATAAAAACATTATTAATTATTAACAGGGTTATAATTATGATTTTGTTACAATGTAAGTAAGTAAATAATGTAATGTAAGAGAAAAAATTCAGATTTTACATTTTACTAAAATATTATCTAAATAAGCGCCTTTCTACAACAACGCCACTGACTCCCAATGGGTAAATTGAGAGTTGCCTACCGGTCAAAAGTCGTTTCAAGACTTAAATGGATTATTTAAGTCAAATTTCTTGCAAATTTGGCACTGGCGAACCATATTTTATAGTTCTTGAACAGAAAAAGTCAATAAAATAAACACTTAAGCAGTACAAGCTAAGAAAATGCGTTAATACAACCGGGGAGATAGCGGCAACAAAGCTTTACCGCACACGTGCGGCACGTACTACAAGGTAATAAATGAATGAATAGGCTCCCTCGCCTCTAATCGGTGTTGTCATATTGTAAAGAACTTATCATTTTTAAACAGTATCCGACTTATAATTTAGTAGTATAAGGACAATTTAATACATCTCTGGAATATTAAAACCTACTTTATTAAACTGTAGTATTAATATCTCAATATATGTGTATAACAAGAAAAAAAATATTGATAATATTAAAGACGTGACAACATAGGCTGGATGAGGAAGGCTCGGTCGACTGTACCAAAGACTGTACCCAGAAGTAAACATGTGTACAAAAAATATTGTCTGTCCGCGTTGAGATGTAAATAGTGTAGTCTATATTTTATTTTAAGTCTATGGTTCCCCCAATAGCTACGCACGCCACTAACAAGAAAGAGAGCGAAATAAAAGGATGAATCGCTGTACGGGTTAATGAAACAAGACAGCCTTCACCGGTATACATCGACTATCTTTATTTACGTCGAAAATATATAAATGCCTGTTAGTTACGTTACTAGAATGACAGAGAGCGTATGCATGTCGAGCATCCTACGAGTTTATTATAGTTAATTGTTT